TACGAGGCACATTCCTCAGTCTGGTTCTTATGTTTTCTATCCCACCATATTATTTATTGCTGTATTTCAGTTAAGCATTTCCCTTTTATTGTTCAACTAACCCCGATTTTATTAGCTATCTTACGCTTGACTGCGGTATCTGCATCAATAAAAAAGAATGAGGCTTAGGAGCATGTGAAGTTAGGGCTGAACTCAATGCAACTCATTTTGAGATCTGTCTTCGTCCAACTTAAAGGAATATGAAGCGGACAATTTTCCTTAGCCTGTTGTATGAATTGAGCCGAAAATGATCACAAGTTAGCTCCCAGTTTCATCAAAGTAAGCAGATTAAAGTGTAGTTCTTCTAGGATTATGAGCCGAGTAAGCAGTTAGCTTTCGACATAACTTAAAGCTATAAATTTACTACATATTATGCTAGTAGTGGTAGCTTTCATTGTTCTTGTCTGCCGGCGTACTTGTGAGTATCCCTAAAGTTACCGAGAACTTTGAACACAACTACGAAGCCCCATGGGGCGTTGATTTTATACGTTTCATTTACTTCCTGTCGGAGGCTCTGATTTTCTATTTCCCATATCATCATAACGATAACTCATTCGATATTACACATTTCCACTTTGTACGGAACCGAAGAGTGGATGAAGTATGCTCGTACCCATTCAAAGTCGGACTTAGTAATTACACTACACTGAAATTTACAAGTAAAATGCTTTATATTTTCATTTTAATCCGATTGATCCTTCCCTTATTTGCCTCAATGCAGGCAACATAGGATCGGTATGAGTCTAAGTAGGCTCTAATTGGTTGAACCGTCGAGCCACCAGAGTGATTTGTTGGTCGTAAACCGCGCCTGCGGGCCTAACCTGCAGCCAATAGGGTACACTCAAGTGTGTATATCGCCTCATCACTAAACATAGCCATTCACTGACGGCCCTGTCATGGCTACGCGACCTGGTGTGTGAATCCTGTTCTCTTTTCTATAGGTGTTACGTAATTATCGCTTTCATTTCTAGCATAGCTTGGCTTGTAAGTGCCAAGTATAGTCCCTAAATCCATGTTAATCGTTATAATTTTTAACATTTGTACGGATTTTAGGCAGATTTTTCGACTACTACACCAATTCGAATGTAAATGAAAATGGTAAAACTTCCGTCCAAACGAATCAGTCGTACTTAACGAGTAGCGAAGATCATCGAATTGTACCTTGTACCGGTGACTCACATTCTGATTACCGTCATGAGGTGAGTATAACTGACTCTTGGACGCAGAGAGCTGACATTGTCAACGACGTGAGGCCCTTCAACACTGCGCACCAAATTGAAGAGATTTGTACGCACCAGACCACGAAAAAATGTGATCTCTATGATCATTTGCGGTCATCACCTGACGATCACAATAACAGATGCTTCCCCAAGTTTCTCCAGCCGAATGAAGCGAAAAGTAGTCAAGGCGAACCTAGCAACACGCAAGCGCTTTCGTATGGCCTAGACCAATCCCCCTGCTACGTAAGGTACATGCTCTACGTGTTGGAGCACAATCCATCCGACCCCCATAACACAGAAGCAAACCAAATGACTCGACCAGAAGACACGCAAGCGCTGTCCCTACTGGAAACCACTGGCGACGTTCGTGCAGTCGATTTTGAACAACTTAACAGAGAAATCTGTTTTCAAAAAGGATGAAATTTTCTAAGGACATTAATGTGTGTAAATACATTTTTAAAATAAAGCACACTTTTCCAACAAACGTCTCGAATACTTAGTCGGGTGCTACAGTCCTAGACTTGTCTCATAGTCCGAAGCAGCGAGAAGACGTCTCAACAGTAAAGTAACGTGTTATTGATTGACCAATAGATGCTACCGATGTGGCAGAATTTTTCCTATGTTTTAAGTAGTAATAAGGTCAAATGTAAGCACAGAGTGGACGCATTTATTTGACGAGGAGATTTACAAAGATATCACGAAACCAGATTCATCGAAGCACATTTCTTCGCTGTTGACTTTCGCCGCTTCTTTCGATTTCGCAATACCTTCAGCTTCCGTTTTTTCGAGGCTGACATCGGTGTTGCCACTGAAGTTTTGTGACCTGTACTAAAATTCATTGTCGTAGATTTCTGTTTGCCTTTTTCTAAGGAGGGCACAAACTGAGTTTTTTCTAATTCTAGCAGGCTTGTAGGATCGGCCAGGTTTGCAGGGGTTGGGGCAATGGTGATGCTATATGTCTTTGCGATGCTATCGAGGTGGGCTGCATCGTCGCCACCAGCCACAAAGCTAATGGCCAAGCCGCGACGACCGAAACGACCAGACCGGCCGATCCGATGGAGGTAGACTGCTGCTGTCTGCGGCAGATCATAATTCACCACCAGGCCTACCGTCTGTACATCAATTCCACGCGCCCAGATGTCCGTGGTGACGAGAACACGACTGAAAATGGGGATTTATTTGCAAAAAGTAAAAATTCCATTATAAAAATTAGAAAAATGGGCGCGACGAAGTTGAAAATCGAACCGTGGGCGCAAACTAAACAGAATTTAGCACTGACAATAACAAACGTTACCTTTGAGCCTAAACTGATAACGCATACGTCTAAACCCTCTGTGCTTCAATAAGAGGATTAATGATACTTTATACTTTTGCAAGTAACTTAATTGATTACTTTGAGACTGGGCATTAACGAAAAATAACTTATGAGTTAGGGATAGTGTGACGTTAATAAAAGATTTGGCAATTCCGATTATGCAATGGCAATTACAAGCCATCGCTTGCCTATAAGCTGTCTAATTTAACGCCGTAAAGACTGCAAATAATTCTTATTTATTTAAGCACCAAATTCAAGGTTAGCGAGACTGGGAATCCATTTGCGACTTGTTTGGCCCTCGAAGAATTCGTAAACTTGAAATATTTTTATAATGTTCGGTGAAAGGTATTTCTGATCAACGATGATTAATCAAATTTTCACCACTCAAAAAACTTCCTTCAAATTGCATTGGTAGTCAGTAACGCAAGAGTATCAGGGAGAAAGATACATTTCAAACTTTCTGCTTTGTTACTGACATTAAAACAGGGGTTTGAATTCGATGCAACTTCGGATCAACAGTGAGAATGAAGCTTAGTGGTGGTGGAAATCATCTTAAAACCGAAAATAGGTAGTAGTTGTTACAAGAACACATTCAAGATTGAAATTGCTTCAATTGTTGATAGTCTGAAGATAATGGATTCGTTATATCGCTGAAGTAAGCAACCGTTGTTTCGATAAATTCATTGCATTTTTTGATAATCGCAGCAATGCAACCAGATAATTCAGGGAACACAACCCTGAAGAAAAACACCAAGTGATTTTAAAACTAGGCTTAAATGACTTGGGAAAAATAGCACTGCAGTTAAGTGAAGCACTGTGAATGAATATCAAGATCATCTAAGTATATACGTCCACGGTATTACGCGTTTCAAGGCCCCAAGTACCAAGATTGACCCAGATCAAATGATTTTACAACTTTTATGGCTATGGGTGGCGTGCCCCACTAAGAACACGAAGTTGACGAAAAGATAAGGCCACTAGTTGGACCTGCTGAGCGTCTGCGGGTGGGTGGATGCGAGATAACGATATGCATGTATATGCAGTCAAAAGTCCCACCCACATATTCGCCACACCCCTGACTATCGCTGACCTCGAATGCTGGCGCCAGGTGTCCTGAGGACACCAGGATAGGTAAAGACAATAATGTATAAACTCCCCTTTACATGGCCTCAGACATACACACGCGACATTTGACCTTTGGGGCTATCTCGCCTGAGTAAACAGATGTATGAGTGAACGAGACTCATTATGAGTCATCATCAAACCAACTCCGCACCTGGGTTTAGCCTGACGGTGTGAACAGTGCCTGGCGCGGATACATCCTCATCCTATTTAAAATTGGGATGACATATAACATTAATGAAAAGAAATAATTCGTTCTCGGTTGACTAGTTCAGAAAAAAACAAGCAGAAGTTGGTCTATCACGTAAACACGTAGTGTTAATGGCTTTTGGTGTTTTTTGAGCACCAATACATCGCGCAGGTGACCTACTTTAATGATTGATAAAGTCAGTGAATCAATTCCACCTAAATCCATTTCGAATTTTTGCCTATTTTCGTTTCTCATCCGAACCACATAACACAACACAATCTAACTTGACAGTGTGAAAAAGGACGCTGCGTAGATGTCGTATGACCACAATGGAGGGAAAAAAGATTGGACAAAGGAGGAAACCACCATGCGCTAGTTTGAGCTGGTGCTGGTATCTTATTCGGGCGTAATCGTCATGGTAACGCCCTATGGTACTGGAACTTACTGGAACATTAGGGCAGGTAGAAACGAACTTAGAAGGGGGATCCGGCTTAACGATCAAAACGGATGGCCGTTGATGATGCGAGAGTTTGATGACAACTTACTTATCATCTGATCAATTTTTAACAAATGAAATATTTCCTCAACGTCCTTCTAATACTAATTTTTTTTAGAATCTAAATAGGATTCAGCGCGTTCAGTTGAAGAGTGGGCACATACATTTCTTGAACAGCTTAAAGATTAAAGTTTGAATGAATACGAATTAACAGCTTCCCCAAAGTAGAAATAATGTTTCATCGACATTGTTTGAAGTACTTTTAATCGGATGACATCAAAATGATGCATGCATTTTTGCAAATGGAGGGGCAGGCTTTTAAGATCACTTTATCGCATATGGTGCCCTTTTGGGTGGATACTCAAAACATCTATTTATATACATCCCAGGTTCGTTAATCACTCTAATCCCTTTAAACATACCATGCAGAAAATGAGTAATCAGGCAGGAATAAACACTTGGTTCGATTGTGAGTCAAATCTTTGTAGAATTTCAGATGATATGCATAGCCGGTTGGTTTGCCCAACCAAAAGCGAGCTGCAACTTTTATGATCAGTGTGGGAAACTCTACTGTCACAAAACAGGTAAAAGCAACCGTATCATAGATTAAGGTCGATCTTATCCCATAGAATTAGGCATTTTATTGCTCAAGTCATGCCATTCAAAAGAAGTGCAAGAACCCAAAGTCAAATCATTTGACTTTCCACTTGATCGATAAAATGGGGAATCTAGAACATACTATTAAACCCCAATGCTGTGATAGGGGGAACTTTTGATGGAGTAACCAACGATGATAAATACATATAACAAAAAAGGAACTATGTGGATGCCCAATAGCAGCTGCACATGATTAACCAAGTAATTTTGAACGGACAAACAAACACTGCATTGTTTGCCATAAACGAAGACAGGCACGAACCTTCTACCTGCCCGAAACGCATTCATTACACGATCTCTTGTTGCCTGATCGAGATCGCCGTGAGCAGCAGTCGCCGTAAAGCCGTCTACGCACAGTCGCCCCGATAACCAGTCCGCCTTATGTCGGGTGTTCACAAAAATTACTGTCTGCGGGACGCATATTGAGGCGAAGATGTCGGTAAGTGTCTCGAATTTCCACTCCTCACTAGCTGTGTCGATGTAATACTGCGTTATGCCCGACAGACTCAACTCATCCCTAAAAAGCATGGCCATTTTCAAACATGGACGTCTATAAAACAATAATTTCTATTTATAGTAAGTGCAAAATACTGAGGGACGAGTAAGCAGACGGGGTTTCCGAGGAAATGTTCCATCACATCTCGACACCCAGATGTCCATGTAGCAGAAACCACGACTCTTTGCATTGGAGACTTCACAACACCCTGAGAAGGCTCCACTTCCGCGTTCCTTGTCTTAGCGGGAAGATACTTGAAAATCAGCTCGAGTTGCTCTCGAAGACCCCGGTTTAGCATCTCATCTGCTTCATCTATAACAGTGATCCGCAGATTGGACGGTTTCAGAAAGCCACTTCGAAGGAGATCTACCCAGCGGAAGCACACAGTGCAATTAAATTGATAATTATTCAAAATAAACTCATCAGTTTAGCGGATTAAATTAGCATAATGTGTGGAAGAACAGAGATATAAATATGGCTCTATTATTGAAAAATGAAGACAAATTTTACTTCGAGTTATTGAAATCGCTGTTACATCAAAACAGAAATTTGCCGAAATGCGGGGAATTACAGACCAAAATGCTCATCTTTTACTTTTAAACACGAAACACAGCCTCACCGATGAAGAACTAAAATGAACAACCTGCACAAATCCTACTAAAACGAAATAAAAACACCAAAAAGTTGAAAACTTGCACCTTTGCTGATGAACGAGAACGTTAATCCCTTACACAGTATACATATTAGAAAGGAGACAAATAAATAGTTAAAGGAATGCTGAAATAACACCAGCCAAACTGCTGTAAAAATTGTTCGAAAGATAATTTAGTCGAGTCTCCATTCGGCAAGCACAAACTGACAATTGTCATAATATTATTTCTACTTAGCTTTATTAGTAAAAATGTTTATAATTTAGGCATTCAGAAAAGGTCTACGCGGATCACCAAACTGCTGTGACCGTGATTGTTCAAATGACAAAATCACACAAGAAGCCATCCCTACATTCACTAGTACACACCTTATTTACAGTAAATCATCATATGTTATCAGAACAATGTAAAAATTCGTTCACATCGGTGCCTACCCAGGTCAAATTGGACCCGTTGAGATCTGCGGTAGAGCAGAACAAACTTAGGGTACGTAGGCATGAAAAAGGGTTGGATGGCTCAGTGAACAATCTCGACGTGTAAGTCGGATAAAATACTCATAGGATTAAGAGCCTAATGCTTTATTAATATCCCAATTTTTCAGATATGTACTCACTCAACGAATGCGCTGCGAATTAAAAAATGCTAGTTCTATGCTTCTTCTATCAGTAAACTTAAATTTACAAATATGGAGCATTGAATAAACCGCAATGAAATCCACTGGGCATGTGGTAAATTACTCATGATATTCCAACTTTAATCTTGGCACGTTTAGATTTAATGAGTCAATCAATAGAAATAGTTGTTGTTCGATTGATATTTAATAAGTACGTAAATATTTATCTGCTTCATTAACGACTTTATCAACGATTTCGTACCTTACAATACCACCAGCCTTAATGAGCAGGGAAAATGTAACCCTAGCACAAACTAACAGGGCTGCTAGATGCGAGAAAGAACGGTGAAACATCACCTCGGATACAAGTGAAGAGTATGGTTCCATTATTAGAGGGATTTACACCCTATCTGGTAAGCATAATCTGACCTTAATTATTTAAACTGATGATATTTGAATAAGTATTCAACGAAAGTCAAAATTCCGTGTGTCAGCATTTACAAAAAACATAACCCAGTGCAGACTAATGCTGATGTTTAAGGTCGAGATTTAATGTTAAAATCTGTCGATTCAATGACAATTTAATTTGGGATAATACCGAAAAGGGACCATTTGGTGTCTGCATCAGTGACAAGGGATAACTGTTAGATTAAAAAAATAACAAGATGCCGATGAAATTTGAAGCAAAACCTTTTATCACTTAAATATGACCAATAGGCAAAAAATATTTACAGGACATCACACATGTATGAAGAAAATATGAATTTTGCTCTTCGAGTAAACGAAATTAAAGACGCAAACTATACCCAAAATACGACCGGGGGTACCGACAACAATCTGATAGCCCAGGCCCAGACTTTTGCTCATCTGACCGACATTATTCCTCCCACCGCAACATAGCACGCATTTGATAGAGAGGTGGTCTGCCAGTGCCGTGACTACCTTGAGGTACAGGGAGAAAAATTATTTAAATGGGGATGTTCGACGACTCAAGAGAAAATGTCGAAAACATCTTATAGATCATCAACATCACGCTTTTAAAAAGGCGTGTCCAAGAGATTCGCCAGTTGAAAAATAAACAATTGCACAATCATAAAATACACTCTCCAAGTCAATGTTACAAATTTTAATTAGGAAGGTTCAATTTATTGATTTCCTTGTCATTTTATGAAAAATAAACATAAACCCTAATGTAATGGTCGTGTGCTGTCGAACTCATACCATAACCAAAAGGATAAGCAAAATACACAACTTATTAAGCAAAATGAAGTCACGTAAGCGCAACTGACAAACCCGATGAACTTGTGAGGCCAATTCCCGAGTAGGAGCGAGAAACAAGGCTTGCGTTTCCCTTCGAGAGGGATCCAGCAGTTGAAGCGTGCCAATGCAAAAAGTTGCCGTCTTACCAGTTCCGCTCTGGGCTTGAACCACGACGTCACGACCTCGTATGATTTGACTGATGGCGCGTTGTTGAACTAAAGACGGTCTCTCGTAACCTAAATTTATTAACCGAAGTGTAAAACAGTATAGTTTTTGGTCTGTCTATCCATGGGTAATGTTGAATACAAAGAGCAATAAGAAACGAAAACCCGACAAATCCGCACAGCCCATGTAACAAACAGCAAGGATGATGGGCAAAATTTTGCGAAAATTATACAACGATAAACAGTGATACCATAGTCGTAGATTCCACGGAGAAGATCTGATTTGAGACCCATCTCCTTAAAAGAAGTTATAACCGGAACATTTTCAGAAAGTGCTATATCCTCACGGTTCTCAGAACTGGCTTTCAGATTTTCAAGCATTTCTAAAAGTAGAAAGTAGAAGAAACCAAGGTTTACCCAAAAGTAACTAAATGTCGTACATAGCTGAGTCCAGATTCCAGCATGACGATGGAAACCGTACGAGTTGCGACAAAAAACTTAATGGTCAAGAATGTGAAACGATAACACTAAAAAACCGTAAAGAAAGGAGTTTGCATCAAGCTTTGGTGGACTAAAACCCTGCATAACTCGAAGAACTAACCGCAAACACCACGATGCGTGCGAACACCGCGAAGGTTAAAAAAAAGCGCTGTGGTTGCGAATTAGTGTTAACACGATTCCATTTCAATCATTGTTATTAAAGGCATAAAATGGCAAGAAAAAGCTACTTATGGCAGCAGTAGACAGTATATTTAAAAAGGGTCTAAGCAGTCTACGTTTAACGAACATTCCATCATTATTTATTTAGACTAATCTGATTCCTGAAAATCAGGTACATGGCTAGACTCAAGAGGATTAATGGAGCTCTTCCTTTACTTTAATATGCAAAACTACCTAGTATTAAAATTGGTAGAGTAAATAGTGTTAAATATTTTGTTTGGATGGCCCCAGACAGTGAGCAAATTTCACTTTGAGTTAGGTCCATTGCCTATCAGCTATTTTATAATGGATGACCTTGGGGTGGCTTTAAACTACTCAATAAATAGCGCTTTAGGCAAAGTATTCCGTCTATATCAGTTTATGGCCTTTACGTTTGCTTTGCATGCTTGCACAAGAACTGCTCGCCTATGTTATTAAATTCATTCGTTCTTCTATTTTTCCGTGAGTTTGTTACTCTTCTCTCCCAGAGTTGTAGCTGCCTTACCTTTCCCTTCTGTCATCATTGTTATCAAGTAATTTGAATATGTTAAGTAAACCAGTGCACAGTTATGTGGTTCTTTTACGCCTAAAACATGTATTAGAATGCAGTGTATTAATTTGTGGGTTCTGATTGCACAACAGGATACTCGAGTACATTTACCTATTCAATAGCTTATGAATAACAAGATGGTAATGAGAACCTACAGATTGAGATTTTACGCAGTAATTTAAGTGCTACAATGCATAGATTTTGTGACACGGATTCGCTGATATGCCATGCGTTAAGTTCTCTGAACCCCTTAGATTCTTTTTGTAGCTTACTTTGCCAGAGGCCTCAACTGTTATGTATGTAACTCCTCCGTTGATCCTGGATGTCTCGACAGCGGATTTCAAGCTCATATAATTAACTCAGACGTGCAACCTTTGCCGTGCAACGTTCGTGACGCCCAGTTCTGCATAAAAACTACTACCGTATACGGAGGCAAATCTCTCTTGCATACAAAAGGTTCTGCTCGTTTTGAGTTATGCACTGACTTAATTAATTTTCTTTTAGCTATCATGGGTACAACGCGATTCTGCAGCAGCAAGTCTCTCGGTGACCAATGTCAATATGTCGACTTTCCCGATCACGATAGAATTTATCAAGCGTGTGTTTTTACCTGTGAAGAGGATGCCTGTAACACATCAAGTAGTCGCTTCCAAGATTTAGACGTTTGCTCAATGTTTTTCATTATTATGGTACCTTTGTTAGACGCAGGGCTCCTCCTTTTATAGAACAAAAGCGGATTTTTATTTACTATCTGCATACATATGCCACAGTATTGATCGCTGTACTAGTACTGTTGGGTCACGTTGTTCAACCTGCAATACCGAAAGAGAAAATAAATATGTTAATAAATCTGTGACTATGGTTTGCTAAAAAGACAGTAGACTATCCTTAAAGATATACCATAGCATGGCTATTGTGTCGGATGTAAGGCTGACGTGTGAACATGCAATCAGGTAAACTTAATACATAAGTCTTACTAATAAACGCATAAGAAAAAGGCAAATTCCTAAACAGAAATGGGTGAATCTTGGTACCAGTAGGCAACCAATCACCATTTGACCCAAGGCAAAATTGACGTTCCAAAGTTATATGTCTTCCATACTTACTCTAGTCGCTTACGTGGGATTTTCAGCCGTAGTCTCTTCCAGTCGATGTACTAACACCTGGTGCTTTAGAACAGCCATTTCATCTGCGAACTCCTAAGAAATTAGAGGTTATTTATGGAAGTGATGTCAAAATAATACTGTCCTTAAATATAGTTGGTGAAATTTGAGCTTCAACACCTAAGTGGACAGGTGTTTAATGCTTCACCAACTGAAATAAGCATTGAGGAATTTGTACAAATGCGTTTGAAGATATCCCTAAGCAGCTAATTTAAATATTGCATATTTTTGGCCATTAACTTACCATACATCACGCTCAATATAGCGGTGTGATTACTTTAATCCAAATTATTTGTGTATTTTAAAGGCACTGTAGTTTCTAATCCCACTTTCGATAGACATGTTTTAATGCATAACTAACAGGTAAAAGCAATCCTACTTTGAAGCAGTAGTGGCAAATTTTTGCAACTGTGCTCCTGTCAAGCGCCACGGCAACATGAGGTGGCAGGAGTCGTTGCAACGGGTGGTCGTAGAGTATTACTGGAGTAGTAGAATTCGGCGAATATCTGTTGACTAGGGCAGATAACTGTGGATGCTGTTGTTGCTGCTGTTGTGCGTGCACATTTGAGTGTGTCTTTGTCGTCGCCATTCTTACGTCCCTTGTTTGAGATTTCGATTCAGCAATGGCCTGTATAGGAGGATGAAACACAACTGGGAGAGGATTTTTAATTGGGCAGATGCGCATTTGGAACGAGGTGGGAAGATCAAAATTTTTTACCTCGATTCAGACTCACTAAATAAGAACCGCTTGGCACAAATACGTGCTTAAATATGCCGAAGACATTACAATTTTTTAACACAAAGCTTAGCTGATGCCGTAAGTAATATGCAGACCCTAATATTTAACTTGAATTTTTTAATCGCCGTTGTTTTTACCATTTTCTAAAGTCACCTCGTTATTGCTTGACACATTTGGAAAACATCTAATAATATTCATTATTTGGATTGGTCTGGTTAGTTGGAGCTGCTTTACAACGCGTGTATCGCTTTGTTTTGGCCTTTACAACTATATGAAATCAATGGTTCTTAACCGGATTAAAACTGCCATCATTTCATTACGCGCATCAATGATTCATGGCGGTACTGTAATGTTCACGAAAATCAGACTTCAGAAAAAATTCATTTCTGATTTTTGTTAAATTTTTGCCGCAAAATCCACTTCAAAGGCATATTTTTTCATACCTATTGATAGAAATATTAACGAAGGGAACTTTTTGACAAAATTTATTCTTAAACAAAAACATTTCATTAACGATAAAATCTTAAAAGTTGGCATTAAAAGTGCACTTGAAACACTATTGATGCGCCTTCACATAAAAGAAATAAACAACAACCGAAAAACAATACAAATTTTGTAAAGTTGGACGCGCAATATCCCTTAAAAGCTGGAGAATCCATACATAAAGTCCTGATCGATAAGCTGTCTATATGTGAACAGTTGTTGTGTTTAAGTTATTCTGCAATTATTAACCTGAGACAATTTTTCGCCACCGTCGTTGCCTACGAATTCCTTGTAGTCCATGACTTTCCAATTCTGTGAAGCAGAACCGGGGAAGAGTGTCGAGTGAGTGGAGAGAAGGAGGTCGCTGACGAGAATAGATGCAATCACTGGATCGATAAGCTGTTGAGGACTCTTGAAGTTCCCTGTTGTTGTTGCTAATGCCGTCGCTGATGGCGGTGGTGATGGCAATAAGGGCTGCGGTAGGGAGGGGAAGACTACATTTCCCGGACACCTTTGTAGATGAACCACAGCTACGTGCGAAGCAAATATGGTCTGGTTGCTGAACCACATGCCACAAATGTTGCACACCACAATAATTTGCATATGAAAATTCTCAAAGTGGTTCTGTTAATAAAGAAAAAAGGAAATCATTAATAGATCGGATGAGTGGGGGGATGTGTAAACGACATATTCCCTTTATGTAACTCATTCAAGGTGAACAGATTTGCACTAAGGCACCTAGATAAATCTAGGTGTAAATACATTACTCGAGGATATTCTTTTCATTACATACATTATTAAACTAGCTGTTTCTTATCCCCTCCTCTTCTAATCGCATTTTTGCAGCAAAAATGTTTTCCTTAAAAATCAGTGATATACTTTCATTTGCATTCATATGTTTACCTGTTAACTACCTATCGTAAGGGAAGAATGGTGAAAATGGTCTTGGTAGCTAAGATGAAATTCCGGTGAAAATAGGAAACAAATTCTGCACCAGTAAAATCGATAGCAGTAAAAATAAACATAGCTTGCATCCGTATCAACGTTTATCAGCCTTAGGATATGCTTTCTATTTGAGTAAAATGAGCGGCAAAGCCCCTACTGCAAGAAATAACTGATGTACAAAAGTGCAGTGATACATTAAGCAGATCATTCTTGACATCAAGGAGAAAAGAATGAGTGGTTGAGGTGTTACTTCGATAATTCCAATAACTCAAAATCCTCTTTTAATTTCTTGTATTCTAATATTTTTAGCAAAAATTAATCAGGTTATCGTAAAAATCATTTTCCCCTCCCTTTATTTAACTTTTGGAAGTCCATCTGGCGTATTACAGTCATATAGTTGCAATTTTTACTGGATATCTGCTTGGGAAATTTCGAATTTTATGCTTAGCATGCATAAGTGATTTTGACTGGTAGGCATGAATTTCAATTACATATACTATAAAACGCTTTAGCTTAACATTTAGGCTCAGCCCAAAGGCCTCAAATAATCTAAAGACTCCATTTTCCTGTACGCAACAAGGGGAAGCGGATACACCCTAGGTATCTTTTGATTTTATGTTGTCTCTTTCCGTCAACTTTTTAAAATATCCGTGATTGATGTGTTTATGATAAACAAATTATCACTGCAGATTTCTTCAGCGTCAGAAAACCGCGCGACTAACGTTCCTTCCGCTTGGTTCATTTTCGAATAATCTAGAAACATTCGCCGTCCACGCTCTAGTTGACTTCCTGTCTGGCCAGCATTGCTTCCGGGTGTACTTTACATGCGTTAGTACTCCCTTTTGCCCTAAGGTCATTCAAAGAGAAAAATATGCTGGAGCTGTGGACTCTGTTTACCTCAATATCTCAGGAGTATACGTGCTGTACTACATGTAGGATATTGGGTTGTGGTAGTACAGACCTCTACTTTGAAGTTCTTGTCTACTTAGGTCCTCCAACGTACATTAGCCGATCACATTCGTTCTCACATATTAGCAGTTCATAACATTTATTAAATAATGATTCATACGAATCAACCTGTGTACCACCGCAAGTTTTTGTTGTTCTGAACTTAACCAGTAGTTCAGCAAGAGAAGCTAGAAAAGCTCACCACCGCCGCTTGGATGCCAGAAATCCGTTGGAATGCCGGACATGCCGGACAGTGAAAGCTAACCTGTCCCTCCTCTTCCACGGAACCAGTTGCAGCTGGTTGTTCATCACTACGTGTTGTGGCTATAGAAGAAACTCGTTTCGAATCGCGGTGTCGCTTTCGACCACTTCGGAGGAGTTTTAAACGACGACTACTTTTGAGAAGAGAGGATCTTGCCAATAAAAGGCAGGAACGATCACACGATGCTAATGGTGATTTCCTCCACCGATGCGTTGTCATGTGGTCTAAAAAGTGGTCAAGGGTGAGCTGCTCTTCGCTGCAGACCGGGCAGATGTAGATACTAGCCGAAGGTGGTGTCTGCATACTGGGTGGAAGAGACTTTCGTTGAAGAGTCAGATCGATGGGAAGGACGTCTTCGTCTATCATGACCTTCTCGCTGCTGGCATTTCGAGATGAATCTGCCAAAATTTTGACAATGAATTATAACTAGGACTGTTTTGCGCCTAAGTCAATTTAAATGAGGCTAGTCATAAAAATGACTTCAACATAGGTTTCAATGAATTGTGACAACATATCACAATTCATATAGGCAATGTTATTTTTTGTACTAAAATTAAGTCATACATGATCTAAAAATCAGCATTGAATTATCGGAATGTATAGCATCAGAAAAATAGTTAATAGATATTTAAATTTGTAATTAGAACACAAGCTAACCGGTAAGTTTAGTAAATTGCAGTCAAAGGAAAACATGAGTATCAGCGTAGGCTGTGTGAGAAATTTGCGCCTTAACCACCAACGATAGGACCGCTCTTCCTAATCTTAAGACCAGAAAATCAGAGTTTTCTATCTCGCTCTCAAGCAGTATCACGATTTCCCCAGAGATGGTGAGAGAGGAAGGAGAGAGGAAGAAACAAGCCTTTATGAGGGAACGGAAAGATGCTGAAATTGTGCTTCCCTTAAAGATCTGTTCTTTACTCAGATTCCCATTTACACTTAGCCGGAACTAGAGAAGAGAGGCAAGGTGTGCAGTCTATGGTGTGAACCAAAACCACAGCACCAACGACAAGTACTAACGCCACTACGTCTAATACTGCTGCTTTGATCCCTAGGGAAATCTTCACTCACGCTAACGCATCTCCACTCCAACTTTCTCGCTATCCCAGGGGAGCACCCATGTTCACCTTCGCGAGTTGTCTTTTCCCTCTCCTCCCTTTCCCTTCATCCCCCCACCACTACCACCACCTCCTTACCGTCCCCATGAGAATTTAGGTGTTTCCAAAGGGCTTCGCTCCACCGCTCGATAATCCAAAACCACCATACTTTCTCGATTTTCTTTCACTTCCAGTTGGATCTTACAATACATTAGAAAGCACTCTTAAACCCCTATTATCCTGCATTTCTTTCAGCCAAACTCAGATGCATCGATTGCATACGCGTCACTAACAAACACCATTACAAACTGTCTGCACTAATAATAACAATAAACAGGAATTTTCCGTTAATCTGCGTGAACTCTGATAAATAGAGTTATTTACATAAGATAGTAATAAACCGATATTCATACATTTTTACACTACTGATATATTTCCCCAAAATTTAACATTAAACAAACGATTTTCATCCACTTAATGCTTCGAAGTTTCATGATTTATAAATTAGCATTCTAGCAAATTGCCTTTGTCTGGATCTGTGCATCCTACGTTTAATAAACTGCCAAACATTTATGAGTGATGTGTAGTAAGAGCAAACAATGGGTTTACCTCATTAAGCAAACATAATTTTGTTTAACATAAAGCATTTTACAGTAAATTTCTGTTGGAATTTGTAAAAGTGCTCATAGTTGTAACATTTTACTAAAAGTTCCACTGAGTGACAGGCAGAGGTTGACAATATCAATGGTTTCAAAGTGTTTTCATTTTACTGATCGTCATGATTACTTTTAAGTGCAATCCAAAACTATCCGAGGTAATTTGCGCAGATTAAAAAGTAATTTTAGTCTGAAGAATAAATGTCACACACATCATTAACAATAGTTTTCAGAAGGCTGGGGTTTGCTAATATGCATCTCGAAGACGGAAGTTTCGGTGTTAGTAACGTATTCACAGAAATTTGTCACTGAAGACTCATCCTCTAATCATATTACCATCTGCGAGGAATTTGTGAAAGTAATTAAATAATAGAATAAAGGGATTTTGCATGAAATCTCTGAGGGGTGCTCTCATGGGGAACAAGTATGGTATGGTTTCATGTGAAGCTTTAGTAAACAACACTCTCTCATGGAATGTAAGGCATTGCTTTACAAACAATAAGCATGTAGACCTTCATTTATCGGGAGTAGGGCCTAAAAATAAGCAGACCAGTTTTTATAACATAGTACATAATAAAGCATTAAAGTGCCACTATTTTTAATCAATCTCTATTGATTAAACGAACGAACTTAGGAAAGTCTTGCCAACGATTGTGTCCCATTGGGAAAATTACAATGAAAAGCGCAACATCTAACAAAGCTTTTAAGTTATCCTTGGTAAATGATGCTTATCTGTGGCGTGAGTTCCAGGCTTCAAATCTTTTCCTGTGAACAAGCAGTTGACAGTAAAAAAGCAAAAATAGGAAAAAAATTTACACGAGTCAAAATAGTGAGAATTTTGCCCTTTAGATTAATCATTGCTTAACTTTATGTGTTTCAAAGTGTGATAACTTCTGCAGACTTTCCACAATGGTTATACACTTTGAACCAATGGATTAAAGAGATATCGTGTATATAAACAACAAATCAATTGATTTTACTCAGCAAAAAAAGCTATTAATTTACTAGCATCTCTTCTTGGACATGACTAAAAATGGAGATCAGAAGCAGGAAAATTGTCACCTGTGAAGAAAAAGTGCTGCTGCTGATTTAAAATTCTATGTTCAGTCGTTTGTTGCTAGAGCAACTGGTACTAGGACGAGTTGCAGTTAATCCCTCAATGATACCCATTGTCACATTTTTAAAAACCTTTACACAATTTCCAAATTTTGTTCAAACAACCTTCAATGATACCATCAAAGTAAGGATCATTACAAAATACCATAAAACTATGCAGATTTTGCAAACTATTTAATGAAATCAACGCATTATGAAAAACAGTGTCCAAAAGATAAATTTAAAGGAATAAATCCACTGAGAAAAAAAGCAATCAATATAGTTGTGACAGCAGGCGCAAGCTGTTCAGAATTAAATGCCTACCACTTTTGCTGGCACATACATACCACTAGATTTATCTGAAACGTTTTATTTACTCTAAATTTTTGAATCCTATAAGCCAGTACATATTATCCAATATTACAGGCAAATCCTATGTAAAACGTAATCGCCTGCTGCTTCTGCTTGGAAAAATATAGTCAATTAAAGTTTCCACTCAAATGATTATTATTTACATTAATATTTACCCAATTATACAAAGCAGGTGTACTGCGGTTGGATTTGCATTCGGACTTCTAAAATATATTTCATACAATCCTATGATCATATCTGACACACCAGAACCGATGCTGAATTCATGATCGAAATTTGTGCTGTGCTTTTTACTTAGAATGATCGCGAATTTTGCGAACAAGTGTGGTTAAATCTTAAATTAACTTATGGAAAAATCTAATATATCATGTAAAAATAATTCGCGTGGGACGAAATTTGCTATTTTCTTTGCAAATGGTAGCATGAAAGTAGTCAACTACATAAATCCGCAAGTTTCATAGGTGAATTATCATCTAACGATAATATTGTCTCACTTATCAACATTTGTTTGGCTGCTGGTAGTTGAATATCCTCAAGTGGTTCAGCTGGAATTTCGCGTATTTCCAGCACAGACCACAAGCCATCGTTCAAAGCCCAGTGCAAAAAAACTGCATTTCAAGTTTTCGAAGTTGCAAAATTCTACAGCATTAAAACTATCTTGTTGCTAAACAAATTGCTTCGTTTGAGAATCCAATTTAACTGAAAAGTCGAAACGATTCATAGGATATTTTAGAAAGAACCCTGATTATAATCGGTGAGGCAACCACAGATGACTTACATTGGGTAGAGTCGGATAAAACCGCTCGTTGGGGCACTCTTCTCTCAACCGAGGCCATGGAAGGCAATCTATGATGACTGTATGCTCGAGTGAGTAGCCTTCAGTGTTTACACATCCCCCAGCATGGGCTTCCGCGCGCATGTATGCGGGAATGTGGTTGGACAGGCATCAGGTGATGCAACAGCCAATGATGACGTGCCTAGAGCAAAATTTTCGAGTGATCAGAACGCTGAGTTCGCATCTTCGGTTTTATTAAAATATGCTATTTTCGTCATAATGTAGCTAAAATTCGATTAAACAAATAAACTTCGAAGAGTGAGTTGCACGACCACTTAAAATTTGCATTATGAAGGAACGAATGGCAGTCAAATAACAAAAATTAAATAATTTTTGACCTTCATTTTTCTTAAAGGGTTAAGATGATTTCCGTAGGGTAGAAGTAGAACAACTTCAGAGGCTTTTCGAGGCTTCTCTTGTTAATCCCCGACTTCGACCAAATGGATTGAAAAGCTGCTTGGTAGAAAGCGCAGCGTATTATGTAAGGAAGTACTGATTTGCAGAAAAGGGAATAAAGTTTGCAAGAAACTGAGCTTGAGGGAAAGACAGCACCAATGAAATCATGGGATTTTTCAGGCTGGTAGAATTGTAATCTAGAAGAATAGCAAAATAGGGATGCATAAAATTTTACAGCTTGCTCGCATTGACGAAATACTAAAGTACTTTTAAAATAGTGTAGGATTCCTAATTAGTCCAAATTAAAGGCTAACTTGTATTCCTCTGCACTAATCAACATCCTTTTATTGAATCTGTTCAGCGCAGTGCTCATTCATGCAAATTCTTGAAGTTCTTCCAATGTAATAAGCAAGTTAGTTAAGCTCATAGGTGGGGATACCTAAATAGCCAACTGCTGTATAGATATTTAATTTTGGAGATTCCTGATCAAAATGAGGTTTTTCGTACCCACAAAAGTTAAATTAATGATCATCTCATAATCTGCTCTCTCGTTCAATCTCTACAGTAGGTGTAAACCGACTCGATTCATGTGCGGCTAATTGATAAGAATACCAAAATTAGATTGTGTCAGGGTAAGGGAAGTCGATTTGTAATATGGGAATTAGCCGAGCGTTGCGGCCTCGAGCGAATCAGCTCGGCACAAACCTCTTTTAGGGCTTGACGACCATCAATTTCCCAGAGGGTTTGCCTGAACCGATACCCATGGGACGGGTCGGGTACTCCCTCGTTGATTATACGCCGGCGTAGGTGGCGCAAGGAACCAGCTGAACATCACTGCAACTCCTAGGGGTGTGTGCGGGTCAGGCAAGGGGAGAAATGGGGTAAAAGCTAGGGGATACGCAAACGGACGGAAGATCACTCGTCTTTCTCGTACCCCAGAGAATTCGGTCTTAAAATTAAGCACAATTTACCTCACGTACCCACTCCGCACGATCTCAGAGCCGCTCTGTCTGCAAATGGTTGGAAATAAAGTGACTACTGAAATGATACTCTAGAGTGCTCTGTCCATTTGTAAATTACAAAGGCAAATCTTTAAGTGTTGCTCAACGGCTTGTATGCAGGATGTCGTAACGAAGGTTGCGTAAAAAGGTACAGCTACGAAGTAAGAGCTAATGAAATGGGCCATAACTACATTTTACGAGGGAGTTAGACAACCTTGGTAACTCTAACATTGGAAATATAAGCAGAATTGGTGAATTCTTAGAGGAAATTTAAGTGACTAAATCACTTATTTTGTTAGGTACTTAAAGCAAAAATCAACTAAAAGTCGTTATAACAATTTAAAGGGTGACATGTTTTGATGATTGAAAAACAACTCTATGGGCTTAAGGAAGTTAAGAGCTATTAGAATTAACATGGTGGAATAAAACAGATATTCAGTAATAGAACTACTAGATAGACAGCAAAACGATAAGGAGTGGTTAGCACTTAGTGTAAATGCACTAATGAATTTGAGATGTTTGCCCTAAGTGGCAAAATCCTAGTCATAAAAGGAAAAAGAGTTGCATATATGAAGTAGTACATACCAATTCCACCTATTTTTTCATGCGTGATTTTATTTGCAAATTATAGTTACTAAAACAGTTTAAGCAGCTTTACATTTCCTTTTGTCATTGCTACAAAGTTGAAGACTCGTAAACAATATGGGATGTTCCACTTTATAATTCACTCCAACACGCTCAGAGTACCAGTTGCAAATGCAACATACCAGTACGTAACTTACTATCACAACTCAAAATGCAGAATAACCTCACTCGGGTACGATAAAATGGTTAGTTTTGTAAGGTAGTGTAACACGCTTAGCAGAAATTGTTTCCAGTTAAAATTTCTGTGGTTTCCGAAACTAGTTATGGCGCTGCAGCGTTGCCATGTTTATTGTACGTGCTTAGGATGGGGGACCATGAGTTCCAGAGATTGCAATTCTGCTAGGGACGCTGCCATCCGGCCGTGACCATAGTTCTCCTCTTTTATGTGGTAATAACTGGCCTATTTCCATACCCTTAGGGCCTACTACGACTTCAGTGAGGACTCGTGATGCTGCATTGGTGGCAGCAGTAACAGGAAGCGATTGATGTTGAGTACAATTCTAATTTTTTTAGTCGGTCACCGTATGAGCGTTACAGGCGAAAGGTATTTACTGTGATGATCCGAAGCTCAGAAGCCTCACTACAGAAGGGTCAAAAATCTCACTTATGATCAATCAACACTTCTTTTGTCAGATCTAACAATCATCGTGTGGGGCAAAATTTCAACAAATTGCAAATTGTCTCAAAAAAAGGGCTGGCTCTACATCATTTTTCAAAATGGTTTTTTTTTAGGATCTGTAGCCACCGACAGCTAAATGTTCGTTGTAAACAACACCCAGCATTTAGGATCATCACCGAGTAAATTTTCTCCCAATAGAATTCGCTCAGCTGGCTAGGCGTTACTTAAAAACCTAGACGGCCAGATGTACAGTGCGTACTACGGCGAATAACATTCTCCCTCCGTTGCGAATTCAATACTCCATCTTTGACCCTGTCTACTTAGTTGCAATCCACTTTAAAATTAGTTACAGCCACGGGGCGTGACGAGCTATGTTCGAACTGATGTGCAGTGGTGTCACACATTATGAAACCGTATGGTTAAGTAGGCGGACACTTCAAAATCCACGGATTTTAATTCTACTCGCAGCCTGTCTCAACAGGAGTGCTGCAAAGGCCATCTAGCTGAATATACAGCCAAACAAAATATAAATTTAAAATAAAATTTTTGATTTAAAAATTATCTGTGCGTCAGCAATAAACTGTTCAGTTTATAGAATAAGCTCACACAAAATATGTCCTGGTATTTACAAATTTGGATCTCAAGGCCACCATCATAGATGCCGGAAATTTATTTGGGTGTGTATGGTACGATTTCTCCGTGCATATTTGTTTTTATTTCTTTCTTAGATAGGAGATCTGAAAAATGTGGGGTTTTTACCACTAAAATAAACGTTTACGTGTTACCGCTTTGTGTCCTGTCATACGTGTGACGATTTGGATCGTTTAATTACTTCTTGCTAGTCTATCTACGTCGTGTACGTATTTCGTAGCATTTAAAATAATTTAAATTGTGCTTTTAAATGACACTCACCATGTAATATTATTAGGATGGTACGAATTTAGCAGATACTAAGTTTACCACAACTTACTAGCACCATATTTATCCAATGCGCTTTTGTTTGTTCATCCCCGCTTGATCATGTTTGTTTATTCGAACTTCAACTGTTACCAAACTTTTTTATCTAGATATTAGCATGATTGCTTCAAAGTCATCTTGTGGTATCGCGACATCTTTCATTCGTTCCAACTTGTTGCGCCTTCGTTGCTTCGATCCGTCTTACTCAACCAATTCTTCGTTAAACATGCAAGTGTACACCAATCCTGTCTCGAACCTTGTTGTGGGTGTTAAATTATTTTCTCTTACATCGAGTGGCCTCGTTCTTGCTGCTCAACCTTTCCTCTTTTCAAAGTTTGCTACCATGGCAAGTTTCGCACCGTTTCTCATTTCTAGTCTCTCATTTGCTGCCCTTACCCCTGCCATTCTTCACGTATTAACTCGTTCCTGTGTTTTCAAAATCAACTACAATTCTCAAACAGGCCGATTCACGGCTTACACGAAGACCATTTTCCTTCGGCCCAAAAAGGTTGAATTCAGTCTGGAAGAGGTCTCCTATTCTGTCGCCAGTCTGTGCTTTGCCAATATGACTGTAAATAAGAAGACTACCCTCCTAGTACTTGAATCTGGTTTCAGTGACCCTGAAATGAAGAACCAACTTTTTGGTCTTGACAGACCCATCAAGTTCCAATAAACTGTTTTACGAACTCTTGCCATTTTCTACTTGTGTTTCTGAAAGCAGTTATCAGATTAAACGTATGCTTTGTTTACCTTCTAGAGCACATGGTTCTGCTTGCATACACTTTGGTACTCTCTCGCTCCTTATCAACGGCCGGTGTTAGTGTTTATTTGAAGGCGAAAGCACGAGCTTCGGGATATACGGTTTGCAAATTTTCTTGATCTTTATATGAGCCACTGCTTTAGCTGCGTCCCTTTGTCGATATGAAACAGGTTGTAGTGCACGCGGGTAAGGGGGGTGATGGTTGTATTGCCTTTGATCGTTACTTCTGCAACCCTTACAGCGGTCCGAGTGGTGGAGATGGTGGAAACGGAGGTCATGTGATATTTCAAGGTTGCTACTTATTAAAAGCTTAGTAGAAAGTATATTCGATAGCTGCGCTATAAACATTTCCCTTTTCATCTTTGCAGCTGACCCAGAAGTGGTCGACTTCTCCAACGTGAATTCGGTACTTAGGGCTGCTAATGGAAGCAAAGGGTTGGGGGGCAATCGTCATGGTTCCAATGGCAAAAATCTCGTTGTTAAAGTTAGTTGGATTCCCGTTGTCGTCCGAGGTACCTGCATATCAGATATGTCAAATGTCACCAACAGACGATTTTTCCAATCCAGCATTCATTGGAACTGTTTTTAATCCAGACTTAAACCTGCCGCATTTATAAGACAAGATTTCTTCCCGCTTTTTGTTCATGCTTTGAGTTTTAACGCATTTGTCTGTTAGTCTAAGATATGTCATTTATTATTTCTGAATCCGTTCAAATTAGCGAGTTACTATAAAATTTAACACTGTAATTTCTTTTCTTGAGTCACTTTTCGTGGTGCGTTTTTTGCCATGCTCTCTTAAACGACACTGCTAAACTATATGAAAGTGCGAGTGCTATTAATATTTGTCATCCTGTCTGGAATTGAGTTGCATCGTCAACATAAATGTGATTTGTGGCTTCGGATTTTCTAAAAAAACGCACAGAAACATGAAGTTACTTTGACTACTGAATTGAGGAGGGACATTTTCGACATTATGGCTGTTCTCAGATTTTGAGTTTGAAAATTTCTTAATTAACTACTCTGCACGTCCTCTCCTCAAAATATGAACATAGAGGAAATTTTTGCATTTGTTAAGATAATGTACGCTGTAGAATCAGTTTATCAGTGTGCAAAGGTGCGTTTGTTGGAAATGTGAATAGTAAATTCATAATACGTTTGTTGATGGTCAGAACAGTTTGATTTCCTCCATTCCGAGCTTTGTGGATACCGTTGGGCTATAGTGGAAATGGGTACAGCTCCACTTGCGAAAGCTAGAATACGACATTGATAGGTAGAGAGGTTTGAATGGATTCTGTCTGGATCGAATTGGTGATCGCTTCTTGCTGTCGCACTTTTGTTGCATATGGTTTAAATTTTGTTTAGTTTTCATGGTGTTTTAGTGGGTTATTATTTGTTGGCCACTTAAAATGTAATTGAAGGCCGGAGTACGTATCAGACATAATGGCGGTAAAATACCTGGCTGTCATTGGTAATTTCGGCTCAATAGTTTGTTCTTTCTACTTTCCAAACTCTGCTTAAACCTTCCGATTTGGCCATGTCTACTGACCTAATACATCAATACCTCATACCTGTACTACTGCATGAAAATTTGATTGGCTCCAATTTGTAGATTTAATTCAATTTTCTGAACCAATTAAACTTCTTTGGATTCATTTTATGATTTTTAAACAAGTAAGTTGTTCTAGATTTGTAGTGTTCTGCCCAATTGTGGTATTGGATGCTTAGCTGTTGATTTGGATACTGAAAAATAAATTCACTTTTTATTTGTGTGCTTTTTACGTTTTCCTCTCTCGACCAGATGGGTATGAACCGATCACATATTCTCGAATCGAAAAGTCTTTTAAGCCTAGAAGCTTTCTGTGCTTCAATCAGGTGTGATTTTTTCCTTCTTTAGTACAAAAATTTATTTTTTTATGTCTTCTAAAGAGCGGGAATTGTATATCTGGATTGCCGTTAAAACCAATCAAACTTTCCTCCTCGCAGTAAATAGACTTGATGTTAAGGGTTAGATTTTATTGCTGTGACCTCAGGTGAGCAGTTTTCTTCTAAAATGCACCGTTCACTTCTTTAAGGCGAAATTTGGAATTCACTTCTGACAGCCTCTGAAAACTATAGTGAATGAAATTATACCTGTATTTTCTGAAGTTTAGTTACTGTTATGACCTCTATTAATCATATTGCAAAATAAACGTCAAAATTACGCTTGCATTAAATGTTTTCGTTCTTTTTAAAATTGGGAATACTTTCTTGTCAATATTTAAGGTGGGGTAAAATCGGTACTGCTAAGAGAAGTTAGTCTCTTCCTGCATCGTTGCTTTTTGGAATATTGGAATACCGTTTGGACAATCTTGAGGCCACGTAATTTGCAAAATACTATTCAGGCCTTATTGATGACTAGATTAAGTGGACTTTTATCGATAAACACTGAAAAAGTAAATTGATGATGTACAAATTATCAATACATGTCCGAAACCAAGTGAAATTTACCAAATTCGCCTGATAAACTAAATGTAAGAAATTCATCCCCTTAGGTAGCCGTGACTTGAATTTGTAATGCAAGGAAACCTAGTAAGTCATCCTTAAACCGTGGGCTTTGGTCGAATATACCCAAATTCTTACTTTCTTAGGTGCCTTTAGACACGCAGGTCCATTTGTTAGCCTCGAAGGAAGACTCAACCATATCTGCCCACCGTACCGATACTTCGAGTCTTCTGTGGACCCTCGTTGCACCCTCTGAGACTCTGATTGCCGCTCGTGGTGGTGCAGGTGGTCGTGGCAACGCATTTCTTGCTTCCGCCAACCAAAGTAGGAGTGTAGAGGTCCTGCCACGAATTGGCGAGGCTGCCCTGCGGTTTGCTGAGCGCGGTGCTATGGGCCAGTCACGACGGTTGCTGCTACGACTCACCAATTTCACTGACGTAGGGTTGGTGGGTGGTCCTAACTCGGGCAAGTCGACCCTCCTGCGCCGTCTGACTCGAGCTCGACCTCGAGTCGCGCCACATCCCTTCACCACCCTCCAACCACACGTCGGCACTCTCAAAATCCTTCATCGAAATAATGACAAAGGCGGCAACGACAGTGTCAAACTGTTGAGTGCGTTTCTCGTGCTGAACCTTGTTAAGTGACTACCCTGGTTACTAAATGTGGGAAATGATATGGAGCCAAAATCATCTCTGAAAATTCAATGAGGCATACTCATCTGGCGACAAGCACACTGCTGGTGTACTGCTAGATCCGGAGACCACAAGTGTCAAAAACAAAACGAGCTATTTGAATGAAGTTCCCTGAATATGAGCCCTATGCGACCATCGCTGGATAAAAGGGCATTTATGCATGTATGGAACTGTATATTTCGCCACACAGGTGTAATTTAGGGACCACAGACGTGTTACCATTTTTGGGCTCTTCATGAACGTACCTGTAAAATAAGCACATTGACCTTCACAATACACGGCAGTCTACTAAGAAGCTGTTTTGTTGGATTTGGCTCAAAACCGATATAAGGAGGCTGAGTTAGGTACCTGTCAGTCGTTATATTCTAAATTTATACAGAACAATTTCTAGCAGTTCGAGTACAACGTGTATTTTGACACAATTTAGTAGAAAGAGCAAGAAATTCGAGGATAACATCATAAACAGGGCACAATGCTGACACCAAAAGCTTATGACTGGCATGACTAAGAGAAAAGCTGTAGTGCCAAATTCTTTTACTGGTGATGAAATTCAGGTCCGGGTTGTACCACCCAAACGGATCCCAAATGAAATGATATTGGCTAATGGGGGCTGTCGGATAAAGAGCTGAATTGGAATTGGGGACATTGAATGAAATAGGTGTTCATTTGACATTTTTACCATGCGGTGACGCAGTTCCAACTGTGAGTGGATAATAGGAATGCTAAAACATGGTTCATCGCGTCATTTTCACTTTTGCAGTAATATCATTCTAGAATCTTGGTGGGAATGGAACTGTAGTGTCCTATTTTTTATGCAAGATTAATTAAATTAACTTTAAATTAAAATCTCTAAAATGAAATGGGGTTGTGCAAGACGTTTCGTCATTTTTAGTGAACTTGGGCAGCTAATAACTATAAAATTTGAGGTGTTATTACTGATCTACTTCATGTTTGTTATGACTGCTTTTTATTAGAAATTTCGAGGAACCTAATTGTATACTCAAAAGTTCTTAGCAAGACGTATTGAGTTCTAGTTTATTCCGCACATTTCCAACATCCTCGATATTTTTTAGTTTATTCTTAAAGGGCTCATATGATACCTTGTATGCGTTCCACCTGTACTACACCTTGACAGCTTATTTCTCCTCATTAGGATGTACCAAACTGATGACTTAATTAAAGACTCAAACCGTCCATCACTTACTCAGTATTTCCTTCTTTCCTTACAATCATATTTTTTATTTCCAGTTGCAGATTTGCCCGGTCTTATTGAGGGCGCAGCAGAACGCAACGCGGGTTTAGGTGCTCAGTTTCTCAGTCTCATCGAGGGCTGTCGCGTTCTTGTCTATCTAGTCGATGTTGGTACTTTTCTAACTAACGGTTCAAGAGCCTTCTCATTAGCTGAGATCACGGCTCACTTTGCTTGCCAACTGGAAGTGCTCTACCATGAGTTGAAGCTATTTAATCCTCGTCTTGTGAATGATACTGGGAGAACTTCTCTCGTCATTGGCACAAAAATCGATCTCGTCGTTCCGCCTTCATCGGGACAAGAGACTCTCCACAAACTCTCCACCTGTCTATCCGATGCTGCTACACAGGCGGGTTTGCTGTCTCCAAAAGTGCTGCTTATCTCGGCACGGCGAGGTGACAATGTTGAGCAGTTGGTAGAGATACTTGGAAATATGGGATTTGATGATAAATAGAAGCGCTCATAGGGATTCCGTGGTTTCTGGGTTTCATTAGGTTTAAAAACTATCCGATTAATTTAAGTATTTAAGGGTCGGCAAGTAATGATCACTAGATGTTTTGCTTTTTTTCTGGGATTTTGTGGGCTTGATTATAAATAGTGGAATGCCAGTTAAGCATGTGATGGGTTAAGTTTAGCGTAGATCTGTCCTTTCACATAAGTTTGTAAAATATGTTAGTACCATCGCAGTTCAACTTTCGAGTAAACGGCATATCATTTTGGGAAAAAGAAGCTTAATTTTTACCTGCTGCTGTAGATTACCGAGTTTACATATTTATCATATACTCGGAAACACGTTAGTTGTGAAAATGTTTTTAAAACTTATGGAGCAGATTCCTGGCACCTAATTTTCCGAGTTTGCCGAAATCCAGCCTTTACTGACCGAGTGAAGTGCTGCACAAGCAGATGATTTAAGGCCGACACTAATCTTTTTATTGGAACAACGTGAATTTCGATAGTCAAGGGAGAGGTTTGGAATGGTTAGGGGGCCAGCGAAATTACTATTATATGTAGGAGCTGGCAAGTATTTTACGTTCTTTGGTGTTTGATTTTGTTTGTTGATTCTTTTCACTTGTAGCAGTACTAAGATGGAAAGCATCTTACAAGTTTCTTAAGAGTCCCTCGGAGAAAGTATCAGATTTGACCTCTTGGCCATTGGCTGAAAGTAAGGCTTTGATCGGCCATACATGACCACATGCAATAAGTTTAAGTGAAAAGAATGGTTACTTATGCTTTGTTGAAGTATTGAGCTTAGAGGTTAGGTATTTAGCTTAATAACTCAATTATTTGATTTCTTTTGTATAGAAAACGATTTTGACGAAAGTCTTACTTATGGTTTATGCATAATCATTTTTTAATAATTTTGCAGTTATGCGGTAACGGCTTCATAGTGCTGAAATGCCTTGAGAACAACGTAAAGTGATGAGTGGGCAGCAACCACATGAGGTTTGTATAAATAATTAACTCAGAATAATTGGGCTTATCGAAATTTGACAAAAACTTAGGTGGATCAATGGATCCATTTAACCAATGCGTCCTCAGCTATTGTAGAATACAAGTGCTCCAAAAGTATAAGCTTCGAATGGAAGGAGGTCATAGCAGAAGAGTGCTTATTGATATGTGTTTCCCTATTATTGATCCGGAGTGGAGATAGGCATCTACTAAGCAAAGTTGGAAAAAAAATTGCAAAAAAGTTACGGTGGATATAGATATTTAATACGATGAAGAACTTCCGCAGAGTGGAGAATCGTATTCGTCTTAAACCATAGGAGACAAAATTTGCCCTATTGATTTTTTTTTTGGACGACCTTGCATTTACTGCATTGGGAATCTATCATTTATTGTTACATAAAAGCAGCAGAGTCGACATTCGCATTTTTGGGTCGATCAGCTAATTCTGCTTTCGCCCTATTTGACCTCTGGTTTTAATTGGAGCCGCAAATTTTTCGGTTTTCGAACAAAATTCGGGGATTTGCGCTTCAAAAAATAATATTGTGCTGGGTATTTCCTTCCGACTAGAATATACGATTTTTAACCAAGTCCTGAAGAGATTACACATTTGTGTACTACTTTATGACTTTGAAAAGCATTGTCTTAGGTGGTTTGCATAAATATGATTGGATTGAGGTGTTCTTGCGAAACCCAATTCACCTTCAGGTACAATTTCTGCGACTATATGTAGTTTCTTCAAAATTTTAAACTCCTATGAAGGTTGCAATGGGATATTTACAATAAATTGCGAGGAAAAACCAGACTTCAAAAAATACTCACCCAGGGCTGCTCTTGGAGTGAAGATGGGGTCGAAATAACAGGAGGCTCTGCTCATCTCGTTACGGCTCCTGTTCCTCATTTTGACGATGCAAGCTTCGACAAGTAATCATAGTCCAAAAAACAACACACCGGAAATAAAATATTTAGTTAGAATCAAGGACTGGGTTTGACAGGCGTTTGGGGTCGTTTGGCCCTCATAAAGGCCTTTTGGTTAGAGCCGTCCTCTATTATCGCCTAATCAACACTAAAATTTTCTAGTTTCTACATTAACTTTGGGTTTTTGGCACAAAGTTGATTTTACAAACCTTATCAAGTTTAGGATCTAGTTTGATAGGGGGGAATGTCGATAAAATGGAGTGCACTAGTTTAAACAAATACTGTTGTAAGTCCGTATTAGCTACCGGGAGTGTTTTTACAATGGTAGAATTATTTCCTAACACCGCTAAGGCTCAAATGAAACGCTTTTTACGTTAATAATTTTAGACTCAAAACTCCCTATTTTTAGAACATTTGCCTTCAAAATCAACAGAATCATAATTTACATGTTCTTGAAGCTTATCTTTGATTAATTTCTAATAATTCTAATAAGTTATCATTCTCTTTAACAACCCCACGAAAATCCCTCTTAGAGACTACTCCCACCTTGATGCAAGAGCTACACTTTGTAGAGTTGGTAGCGGTTGGCTAAACTTGCATCCCCATTAATAATGCTGTCACTTCAGTACGTGGGGAGGCGCCACCATTACACTTTGGGCAAGAGATAGTGAGCAATTAGCCTTGTTATGTCTAGTCTTACATGCATAATAAATTTTATCTAAAAAACTTGCATTTCAGTTTCAATAAAAGTTTAGTGAAAAAATTGTACCAAAAAACGACTGTAAAAGAGGGGAAAAGTTCTGCGAAATAAATCGTAGAATTTACTAGAAGAATGTTAGACTAAGTCGCTGTTTAATTTTGCATTCGAAATTTATGAAACCCTTTGTATTTAAAATTTAAATTCGAATCAAAATTGCTAAAATCTCGCTTGAACACACCTGGGTAATTCATGTTTGTGTGGTAATCAGGGGAAATATGCGCGTATTTCTCATTATTAGAAAATTACTTTGGAGCTTTGACCAAAATTAAAAAGAAATGAAACACCTGACAGTGAATTTACAAAACTCTCGCCTTGACTTGATACATTGACCGTGAAGCTAAATCGTGCCCAAACCCATGAAGAAATCGGAACCTTAAACAAAACAAGATTTTATAACTGCCTAGAGAAATGTTTGAAAGGCAAAAAATAGCTGAACTCTCTGCTTCAGTTGTGTTTAATTGTGTAACACTTTAACCTATTAAATTTAAGTGTAAACAGTTCAAGCTTGCCCCCAAATCCTTCATAAATGTTGCATTGAATTTTGCCATTTTTACAGAAAATCTGAATTTTTTGCAACAGTTGGCGGATCCTTCACGGATTGTAGATGAATATGAGATACTCTCGTGAAATATTATTCTAGATTTGTGTTCTCTATCAGTCGAAATAAATGCAGTCTACTAAGCATTAAGAAGTGCAGGTGGGAACCGGGCAGCAAAGTTGGGCTCATGTTGTAATTGACACGTTACGATGATAAGCCACTTATATTCTTTAAAGAGGTTAAATTATCCATATATATGTAGTTATAAATAATAGCTTTCTTTTAAGTATTCTTTCAGTGTCAATGGTGGAAGCAATAACACTAACCACTGCCAAGTTAAAGAATTTCTTTTTCGGATGATTTTCACTTTAACGTGCCAGACATTCACCACAATTACACGGAGTTAATAATTCAGTTGGCGTTATCTCCTACCGCTGCAGTCGTACTTGACCAATAGCGAGGTCAGAAAACATTGTGGTTGGCCGCTCTACAGGCATATAAACAATAAGGTGAGAGGCGAGGAAGTCAGACAGGTTTCTTGCTTACTATGGAGGACAGCATGCGTACATGCAAGCCAACACTGCTCTTCATGGCTTTCGTCTGTGCCATCGCATTCGTGGCTATGCCTGCTAGATCAGCCAGTGTCTATGTAAATATCCCCGTTTAGCCCATTTTTCTTTTAACTGAGATATTTCCCAGTTCAGAGAAGGATTATTTTCTATTTCCTTATGTGATAAAATGTTTGCATTTAGTTTTGGTTCACTTTCCTTACTAGGTTTCTGACTATTTTATGTTGTATCTTAGGAGGGCAGAAACATAGATGAGGTGTCTAATAAAAGGTTTTAAAAATGCCACTCAGGTAAAATAAAGCTACTGAGAGGCTTTCTCATTATTTTCAACAGGAAGGCACCGAACAAATTTTTGAGAATGATGAGATGATGGAGATCCCTTACAGGCTGATGAAAAAGTGGACGGATTTCAAAAAGCGTTCAATCCCAAGGCGAACTCTTATACCTCATTTTGAGTAATCAAATTACAATGTAATGCATCGAACAGCAAAAGGTTTTCATTCACTTGACGTACTTGGCATCACCTATTCATCAGTAAATAACTTCTGTCTGCCAATGTTTGCATCTTATGGGACATATATCCTGGACCACTCTATTTGCATTTCAAATAATTTACGGGTGAGCGGTGCATCGGCAAGCAATATGTAGTCAACTCAAGCCCAAGTGACATAGTGCAAAGGATTAGACCTAGTGTTGACTGCTGCATTTACATTAGTTTATCTAGGCTTACAATGATTATAAATGGTTGTGAAACCTATTTTACCTATAAGTGGAGAATTTGCAGAGTGGATCGAACGGAACTAAGTAGTCTGTTTGTAATATACAATGTTCCAATCAACGAATGTACAATTTGCCTAAAATTTAAGCGATCTTAACGATTTCACAATGATTTTCACATAATATACTGAGGAATTCAATTTCCATTAAAGGTGGTAATTTGTCGAAAACCGGGAAATGATCAAAGAAGCAACATTTTGAAAGTAATTGTCATTGCTTCAAGCGGACCAAAAACAGTAATAGTACCTTTAAGCCGGTTATTATAAACTCCAATGTACTGTTGTGAGCAATGTATACATAAATCACACTAGTTTCTACTTTCGTCATTTAAAAGCCGAATCCGCCTTAAACCAAAATACTTAGTCGTTAACTGTGCTTTGTTTGCTTTAACAAGTCCGTTCTCAAACCCGAAGAAATTTTCACTCTGAGAAAAACCGGCTGATGGAACTTCGTGATGCGCGAACATCAAGTAGCAATAGGATCTAAGTACTACGCAGACGATTCAAATTTAAATTGTGCTATTATTTTGGTTAAAGTTATACCCACATCAATTTGTCATCTAGTGCGTGCGCGCTGAAAATCGTATATAGGCTTCAGATGAATAACAATCGGGCTTTAGAAAATCCCTCAAAATTGTTTCCTGCTAAATGATTTTAAGTCTGCTTAACCTATAAATAACTATGGGTCCAGAACCACTAAAAAGTGTTGTATGAGGCCATTAATTTCTACCACGCTGTAAAAAGACCATTTAGAACATTCCCCTTTTCTAAGGTAATTCACGAGTTCTTTTTATTAGGTTAAAATATAGCATCAAGAGTGAGCACCTCTTGAAGACTAATGCTGAACTAGTTTATTCAGATCAACTTAACCGTTATTTTTACCAAAGACGTACTTATTAGAAACTCCCTACTGAGTTGTTAGATTGTAGATAGTAAAGGTTCATAGTTCTTTAGAAATTTCCACGCTGAAAAATAAGTCATTTTAAAACCAAGACCCAAAGCAGAAATGAGAACTACATTCGCACGAATCAGTGAATGACTTTTTTGAATAAAGCAGTTTTCGCGAAGACGTAAAAGGTCATGCTAATGGGGTGATTTCAGGTAAAGCATGAAAAGGAAACCGGGTAGCGAACCGGTCTCTTTGACGTGAACTCTTGCCTCAAGAAGGAAGACCAAAAAGTGCCAATTATGTGTAAAAGTTACCAAAGGAGACGAGTTTAGTGCTGCTTCTCAGATATGCTGAAAATGTCTATTAAAAAGCAGTGGTAGCGAAAGTAAAAGAAGCGTGCATGGCAAGTAATTACGCAGGTAAGTGAAAAGAGTTTCCACGTTGTTGCATTCGGACTATTGCAACCGAATTCGGTCGGGATCATCAGTGTGTTAGTTGGGATATAGCTAATATTTCAGATGTATTTAAGGTACCCAAATAATCCAGTGATGATTATTTCAAACTGAATCTAAATCAAATTTTCCCAAAGACGCAAATTTTCATCACTGAAAACGGAGTACGATTTTATGCTCATCTTCTAAAACTTAGTCCACCACTTTTTTCGAAGAATTCCTTTTCCTGTGGACGAACACCCATAAAATATTCCAAATAAAGAAAGGTCAAAACGGAAAAAGATGTGAACTTGTATATTGAATAACGAGGGTTCAGAGCCTAACTATCCTTGAACCATGCCCATTGCTATTTTTTATTTTATGTTCATTTCGAAAAACAAGGACCAAAGAATACTAAGATGTTTTACCATAGTGTCTAAATGCCGTATACAATACGTTGATAATTCATTCTAGCCGCTGATTTTCTTGAGCAAAATCTTTTTAAAATTCTGCCAACTTACGTTATTATTAAGTTTTAAATATCTGTAGAATTCACTGGTAAGTTCGTATATCATTAGTTAAACTTCTTTAACCCAAAAATTCAGGATGGATTAAAAGAATTTCCGCTAATGCTAACTATAGAAAAAGGTGTTACTGCTTAGCCATTTGGAGGTACATAGCAAAGAACACTGCAAAGGACACTGGGAGTTTCGACAAATCATATCCAGCCCGTGGAAATCGCAGGCTCAAATTAGAAATAGGTTTTCCCAATAAAAGTTGATACACTAATGAAATTACAAGAGTGAAAAGAGACCAAACTTTGAAAAGTTTATCTCAGTAAAGCCTTGCAAACAAAAATGTTGGTGGGTTAGACATCTAGTAGCTGGATTTCAGAACCCAAATTTGCATTTTTTGGTTATTAAGGTTAGCTAAGTTACGAATTGAGCAAGTATATGTCGGCCTTTCGAGAAAAGGGATTTAACAGTTCATAAAAATCAACCTACTCTTTTAACGGGAATGTGGCATAATTTGGATTACAGTTACTAGCAAAACTTTTCCTTTAACTCCTATCAGATTGGAGAAGTTTGAATGTAATCCTACTTTACACACCTTTCTTAAAAAAATTAAACAGGCAAACAGTGCATGTACATGAAAGTCAGTTTCCCAACAATCATGTACATTATGTTTGCATGTTTGCACCTAGATCGGTATTTAAAAAAAAAAACAATTACCTTCTTCCCGCTCCCCACCCCTTAAGTTGGTGTAAGCATGCTGGGTCATCAAGGTTTTGATGCCGATACAGGTAGATTACATCCACGTCAAGTGACCACAACTGGAATAGCACAGCAGCTATGTGGGATAAAATGACAGTTCCGGTTGGTAACAACAGCATTGAAAGGATTGAAAACATTGCAAGTGATTTCGTTTAACGTTTAAAAGGGATAGATACAAACGAATTGCAAAAATCGTTTTAATAACCAAAAAACAATCCACAAAAGATGCTCAGAGCGGTTGTAACCTAAAAAACACTCATTTTCGACTGTTTTAAGTAAAAATAATAAATTCACAATTGGTAGCATACACAAACCCGTTTGGTCTCAGATTTAAATGGCAATGTTCCAAGTAGAACAAAGTGGGGTCACCCTCTTTAAAAAGCCTTAAGGAAATAACTATTTCCCACTGAGCCACTCAGGCAAGTCCCAGCGTTTGCTAACCTCAAATTAAAGTATACCCTAATTTACCAAAAAAATGAAGCTTAACAAATCCTTCTACAGAGGGACATCGAGTAAACGAGTGCCCTTACTAAAATACTTACGACAAAGCACAAAGCACACAAGCCATTGTAAACACTTGAAGAGCGCAAGTACAAAATTTGGTATCCCAGCTTTTCGGCAGCCTTCCAGGCTTCCAGAACGCAATATATACAGCTACTTCATATCACAATGCCTCAAGAAGGCTGAGGAGAAGTCTCAAGAAGCGTCAGTTCCCATAGTTTTGCAGTAGTTTATTACTTGTTTAACTCTTGGTTTTGGGTACGCGGAGCTTAGGCCTCCGGTTTTTCCATCCAGTAGTTGACATGGTCTCCAGGACATGCTAGTAGCTCCTTCAGCCCTTTTTTGTTCCCTGTTCTAGAATTAAGGCTATTTTCGTTTTCACAGAAGGCTTGGAGCACTACAGGCATTGCTCTGTTCGTTGAACCAATAGTATTTAATAAGGCTTCAGCATAAAAAATCTCAAACCAAAACCAACAGACAAAATAGCATTGGATCTATTTTCAATTCTGCCTGTTCTCTTGCTTTAAATGGTATACCGACTCGCTGTTACTAGTCGGTTTGTACTAATGGTTACTCTATTTTTCGGATTATATCCCACTATATTACTTTAAATAGTTGGTGGCATTAACATCAAACAATTGCCTTATTTTTAGGCAAAAAATTTTGCTTTTGAATTTGGGATGATTTTGCTAAAGCTTTACAGCTTGCTGTGGTCTGATTTTAATCATTTAACCAAGCAAATTTGTTTTAGTGAGCTGTCCGGGTAGTCCTTTACTGTTTTTCGCCATTTTTCGTTGGGTATGAGTAAGCGAGCTTATCTGTGCATCACCGATGGGAGTGGTACGCGTAGCCATTGTAAGTGATGGCTTTTAGAGTCAAAAACTAACGATCCGAGCGCATGGGCCATCGTTAGGCCTCGAAAGCGTCGTAGCCGCTGGTCCAACGCAAATGATGACAAAACGTACGTACCTGGGATGCCTACACAATTGCCTCCAAACCTGACTCCAGCTCAAGAGAAAATGTATATCTGTAAGTAGAACTTTATCCACATTCTTCCTTCAAGTGCAACTTCAAATAGAAGATATTACAAGACGCCTAAAGACTGGTGATTTGGGCATTCCGGCAAATCCTGAGGATAGGTACGTTGTTAGTTCCGTTTGCTTTTAGTATATAATCTTTTATCGACAGCAATGCGTTAAACTAATTTGTCTTTTCACGTATAGGCGAGCGATAAGATATGGGACGTTAGCTTTTTTGGGTAAACTCTTATACTAATACCTAATCCTATTTTAGTAGAGCTCCATCTGTTAGATCAAAGCGCTGGTAGATTTCACACGAGATTGCATTTGCGTAAGGTATGGAATTTAACGCATTGCTTTTCAGGAATCCCATTTAGCACTTGCTCTATCCACTTTTTTATTTTAAGGTCCCCCTCACCTGAGCCGGTTTACAGCAGTGATGGGAAACGGTTAAACACCCGTGAATATAGAACCCGTAAAACAATGGAGGAGAATCGGCACAATTTTATTCAGCAAATGTTGGAGCTAAATCCCGATTACAAACCCCCAATAGACTACAGGTGCTTCCTCGTTTTGTGTTTCATTTCTAGAGCGCCACAAAACAAAATCACGGACAAGATATTCATACCGCAAGAAGATCACCCCCACATTAATTTCGTGGGATTGCTTATTGGACCGCGAGGGAATACGCTTAAAGCTTTAGAAAAGGAGGTAGCGTCCCGTTTATTATCATTAATTTAGATGAGGCGTTGTAGGCGCTCGTTTGCGTCCAATGAGCCTTATTAGTCGTTCTTGGTGTGTAGTTTGCTCTCTTAGTTGAGTAGTCTTAGAAACACTAATCAAGCATTCCTGGTTTCACAAAGGCTTTGATTATTGCTCGCCAAATGTCGACTTTTATAAGCTTATTCATTTTTGTTTACGCTATATTTGCAATTATCGTTTTGACGTAAAACTATTTCTCAACAAATTTGTGCGCAGACTGGAGCGAAGATTATTATTCGTGGTAAAGGTTCCGTCAAAGACGGGAAATTGATTCGCCGAGATGGAATGCCTATTCCCGGTGAAGATGAACCTCTTCATGCTTTCGTTTCTGCTGCTACTCCAGAGTCGTGCCAAAAGGCTGTGGAGAAGATTCAAAGCATCATCCGCCAGGGTATTGAGGTTCCTGAGGGTGAAAATGACCTGCGAAAGTCGCAGCTTCGTGAGCTGGCACTCCTCAACGGCACTCTGCGTGAACACGAGGGTTTAGCGCGTCTGAGGGCAATGGCGGAGGCGCAGAATATTGCTACGAATAAGATCCAGTGCTCCATGTGTGGTGGTAGGTCACTGTCTCTGACATTTGTGACTTGCTGCCTGGCATCTGTGAACGTCTGTGCTCTGTTGTGCGTTGTCAGGTTTCGGTCATCTTGCGTCAGACTGTAAACTACGCGATCCTTCGGTCACCATGGAACATATGGGCATCAATCCGATGGAAAGGGCTAAAATGGACAGTGAATATACTGCGCTTATGGCGGAGTTAGGCGTTGGTTATGGTGGTGGTGCCGCCACTTTGCCCCCAGGAGTTGGTAGGTCCTTATAAGTTTGTTTGGAACCACTTTGTTTTGTCTCAGTGTTCAAACAGGTAGGATCATCGCCACTGTTTATATCGTGTAGAATTTTCACGGGGATTAACTGCATCTTGACATGACGTCTACACCTGTGGTTGTTAATTTAGCTATACGAACATTGCATTCCTATTAAAAAAGCGGATATAATTTTAGCGCCCGGCATGCGATCCGCACGATCAGGCCCACCGAAGCAGCCTCCCCCACCGGGCGTAGCTCCCGCGCCAGAAGAGGAGGGAGAGGACAAAAGTAGTGGAACTCCTACTTCGACAGCTGCGTCGGTACTCCCGCCGCCTCCACAAATGCCATCTCATCCAGCCGCCTGGGGATACATGGGAGTCCCAAACCCCGGTGCTGCCTACCCTCCTGCCATGCCACCGACTGGGCCGCCCGCCACTTACGTGGCTGGTCACTACCCCCCACCCCCGCCGCCCCCACCACCTCCGGGGCATCGTGGATACCAAGGCTGGTACGGACCTGGCCCAACTGGGCCTTGGCCTCATCCCGGCGGTCCAGGTAAACTTTGGTGTTCGGGTCTACTTCCGAAATCTTGATACAGTTTTCGGGATCGTTATACTGCCTGGTAAGTCCTACGTGAACACGTAGATCAGAACGTGTACTCCTTCCTTAGGAATGCCGCCGCGCCATATGGGCTATAGTGGTGATGGGAATGGTGGTGACTACTGCGCACCAGGATATTATGCAGCTGTGCGATGATTACAATATCGACACTAATGAGTACTTTTTTGATCGACATCCGCAGACCTTCGGTTGTATCCTAAATATGTATCGGACGGGCCGTCTTCATACGATGGATGATATTTGTATCCTTGCATACCGCAGCGATCTTATCTACTGGGGCATCGAAGACCACAACATGGACCCCTGCTGCTTAAGCAGGTACTATCAGAAGAAGGAGCATGTTGAGGATGAGATGAAAAAGGTGAACGAGATTTTTATGCAGGAGATGGACGAAGAGTATTTTGGAAATGATAAATGCGCTGTTTATCGTAAGAAGTTATGGGACATTCTTGAAAAGCCTCAAACTTCTTCAGCCGCTAGAGTAAGCCAGTATTTTTGCACGGCCTCTCTTATTTTATTTAAACAAACCCTTTGAAACTAATGCTAGGTAAATGAACAACTCCTTAATTATTGCTTTTTAAATTGTACACTCACTCTGCATCTTTTTGTCATGATCATTAACAAATAAGCAATAAGCGAACTTCAAACGAGGCCTAATTACCCTCACAAAATTCTACACATGATTGAGTGTTATCTCACGTTAGATTGCTTTAGGCATTGGTTCGAATGTAAACTTTGATTAAATATTTAAAACGCTATTACTTTTAAAACACAATAAAATTACATAATTCTTGTATGCGCTTAGCACTTTAAAAGGAGCCTGGTTTTTACCATGCTAGACCTAGAGAACATGGTTGGAGTCGTAGCTATTTTGAATTAGACTTATACTCACAGCTGTGTCTTGTGAAGTTCGCGTAGGCATTAATTTCATTATTGAATTTGTACTATTTTTAAACAGTACGAATTTACCTTTTTACTGTCATTTGAGAGAAGAGTTCTGGATTTCCACTACTCGAAAACCAGTGAAGTTGAGGGCTGGAAGAAATAGAGCAAAAAGCGAGTGTTATTAGATGCGTCTTGATGCCAAACATCATTGACGTTTGTGTAAGAGTCCATTATTCGTGAATTAGGTTACGAGAAGCTCACTCATTATATAGGCTTATGGGATCAAAATAAATATTCTAATTTGCCCATAATGGTACAGAAAGGCTTAATTAGTGAATAATTAGGCCGATTTAGACTAGGCTTAATTTGGTAAAGCCCCAAATGAAAACCAGCAGTTAGTACATTTTTTTACGTGAGAAAATACATTCGGGCATGTAGCCCTAGCCATCTGCTCGACAGGTGTTCATATCGATAAGCATTCACCAATCATTCGTTGAATTTTGTCATTCAACGCATTTTTACTTCAAAAGTGGCATTATAAGTGGTTCAGTACTTCTCACTTTCACTTCCAATTTTGGCCTTTCAAACAGAAAGTGTGTAAAAGATGGCATTTATATTTGATAAGTGATATGGAGTTCTGCATGTTATCAAAGTTATCGAGGCTCGTTTATTTTGGGGTTAAAAGCGTCCACTCCATTACATGGCTAACTCAAAGCAACCGCTTCTCATCTGATAGAGACACTCAAACAAACACGTATTACAGCATAAAGTAGTCACTAAATATAATTATAAAGTGTAGTCATATATTTCTTAACAAACCATGCTTTCTGTTAAAAAAATATCACTATTTTTACTCGTCACTTAAGGATAGCTACTTTCTCCGTGGAGTTTAAATCCACTTTTAGAAAACACGTCAATATTCAAAAAGTTGCATGCGTTAAAACCAATCACATTATTCAGCCTATGCGTCAATTTCTTGCTGTGGTAAGCTTAGGACTTTCCGAAAGACGGCTTTTTATACATGATTATGCAGTGCCTATTAGTGTTTTATCGATGATAAGATTAATTGAAATATTTAACAAACTGGAATTGTTTAGTAAGGCGCACTTTCATTACTCAACCTGATCGTTTCGAAAAATGCATGTAATCCAGTGTGAACTTGATAAACCTGGTCGAATACTGGTTAATTAAAAGAGATGCACTTTATCCATAATATATCAAGAAATTACCTGCAAACAGTAGTGAATGCTGAATTAATCCATGATATTCCAGCTCTTATTTGCCGTATTTTTACACAGTTAAGTGCTTTAGTGCAATATAATGTGACTTTTTAAAACATACTTCAAATAAATAAAAATAATGTATTTAAATGTTTTATCACGGCGACAATGTCCTTATCCCATCGAAAATCGCTTGACTTAGCAAATGAAACTTTACGATATTCGAGCACTAGTATTTATTACTAACTATACAATTTAATTAAATTATAATATGTCACCTCATTCCAAATCCCCTTGTTATAACCCATTGCTGCCTTTGATTTGTATATTTTCTCTTAATTTCCAATCATCCCAACTATTACTATGACGAAGCAATTTTTGAGAAGTAAACTCGGTATGCACTGTTAAAATAGCTTAAATTGGGTTCATTACATTTAATTTTATGTTTTGTGAATTAGGCTTAATTGGTGGTGTAGTGATGAAGCAACTAGACACAAAAAAGGATTTCTTTGCACAAGAACTTCCATAAAAATTAGAGTGCCATTTTAAACCTCTGCGCCTATCCTTAAAGGCTGAGTTGAATGGAATCAATGGTATCTTCCGTGTATATTTTTACCTTCAATTGCGCGGGAGGTTTAAAAATGACACCGAGGGTAGACAAACTCATCAAAGACGCGCAACAGCCATGAAAAGCATTTAATCGATGAGTTTGTTTGGTTCACTAAGAGGTGTCTTCCTATCTTCCAAGCAGTACAACTTCCTTCTACTTAAGTTTGAAAGACGCTTTAGCGATAGCTTCCACCAAGTTTTTAATAATGAGGTGTTTTAAATGCAATAGAAGTCGACACCTAAAAACATGACGGCAGTTTCCAAATGGCTGAACTCAAAATGCTAACCCATTGTGAAAAGCGATTGTAGTGTACGATAATTGCGTGCTTATTCAAAATCATAGATTGCCTTTCACAGGCCCAGAAAAACAAAATGTGTATAATTTTTGTTACGCTGTGCACCCGACAAATTTTTTTGCTTTGCAGTAAAAGCAGGTACTAATTCCCCATTACTTTATCACATATATTAGCATAACAAAAAACGCCTTTAAAGTGTCACAAATTAGGTTGATTATGCAAAGCGTTTGTAGAAATGTCCTTGAAACGCTTTTAAATGAATTTATTTAAAGGCCAGAAGGTGTGTTTGCTAGCAGGGTTGGCTTTATGCTGAAATTAAAAGTCTTGATAAATAACACAGAGGTATCATTTGTCCGGAAAAATATACCTCATTGTATTGTCTAAGGGAGAACATGCTTACTAGATCAATAAATGTTCCAGGTCCTCTAAAAAAATGTTAATTGCTCCAATTTTTCCAAGTAAATAAAATTGTTGTCCTTAAGCAACAATTATGATTGCAGGATCACCGGGCACGATCAGGTTTTAGCTAATGTATATTCCTCCAAAGTGAGGATAAAGAGAGTTTGAAATCTTTCCGAAAATTATAACGTTACCTCAGGACACATAAGTTAATATCGAGTAAAAAGCACGTCATATAATAACTACGAGGCGGGATTTTGATGGAGTGCGTGTGTGTCAACCTTCCATCAAAAATTGAACATTAACAAAACAAGGTCCCATCGCTTTCTTGTTTATAGTCTACGTCCATATATGAGGCGTGGAGAGTGGTGATCATGGCATTCAGGTAGCCAATAATTCCTATCTACAAAAAACTATACACAGCAATAAACAAATGCTTACAGTACGAGAGATTAACGAAAAACTGACAAAAAACCGTATGCATGAGTGGCTGTGCCGCCAACTCCAGCATCTATTTGTAAAATTCTGTTTTCCGTATTGAATCATATGCTACACAAAACAATAAGAGTAAAGTTAAAGCTCCATTAAATAACCCTATTGGCCTCTGTTATTTTACATAGGCAGAAAGTAGGTGTCTTTTCCAACTATCTTCCCAATGTTTTCATATGCATTGCTCTCAAGGCTTTGTTAAGATTTTTATCATAGCACAATTGCTCCGGACTAAAATCGCTCAGAAATGCTAACAACACAAAAACTACTAATAAAATAATAGTATTTGCGGGTTTCGCTGAATAAAAGCATTTCAAATTTTTCGGAATAAAAACACAATGCACTTTATTTGGAATGAATGCCTTTACACCAAGAACACGTGAAATTTTTCCGTATAACTAGAGTGCGCAATCACGATAATTTTCATACTTTAGGGCGATGACAACTATTCAAAGTTGATTTTTTAGTATAAACAGGGCTCCTAAAATGTGCACCAATGTATATGTCAATGTTACTGTAAAATAAAATCTGCAGTCTCCCTACTGATGTAGAAAGCCTTGTCGAAGTGCCAAAAATTCCTGAATGTGCTCTACCTGATTAGGCAATCAATAAAGGAAATAGGTGGGAATACTGTGGTTTTACCTCACAGATTGGAATGGAACTTTTAAAGGATGTATGCAAATTCTTTAATACTTTAAAATTGTGAACTAGACAGAATTAATCTGATGTTATATAGGCCCCGAGTCCTTCCTGAAAATATAAGGAAAGAAAATGTTTTACGCATCCTTTTTACCAGGCACCTTTTGGTCAAAATGTCTACCCTTGTTATATGTATGAATAATTGAACGAAGGAGATTCCTTCAGCAACCAGAAGGTACTTCCACAGTCCTCATTTTATAGGCAGGAATATCTCCTCTTTATTTGAGTAAGCTTGAGAATGCAGTGAAATATTTTAAAAAGAGTCAAAATCCAAGTGACTGACTGGGTAAAATTTTAAGCATCATAATTCGCTGACTCCCTTTTGCTTTGTGCAACCTTGGCTTCTGCCCATTAGAAGTCTACTAGGTTCATATCTAATCTTCAAAAGTTTTTTTTCAAAAGACCGAAGTAATAAGAACCTTATGCCTAAATCTCCTGGATATTTTTGCAAATTACTTTCGATGCGCCATTTTCACCACAAAATTTTGCTCCCTTGACGCCTTCATTGAGCGCCAAAGCATTGCGCATCCTTGCGTATTGTTCCATTTTATTGTACAATTATTTAAATCTATTGGCTACCTACAATGCTACCTATTCGACTTCTTGACTTTTTTCACGGTTACAAGATCAGGTTGATCCTTATATGAAACATTTTCAGTTTTATTTTGAAGGCAAATTTAGACGATTCGGTGTCAAATCAAACCTTTAGCATTCCAGGGGTTTGATTTGACAGCTGAAACTTGAATACGTAATGTTCTTATTGATGCATTCGAACTGTAGAGTGATGTTTAGCATGACTAAGCATGTCGTAATTCCATTAGGATAGAGTTTCTGAGTGTGCCCGCTTTCAAGAAGTGATTAAGTGCAATGTACTTTTCGAAATAATGAAATACATCTTAGTCATAATTGTTCTGTTTTACTAATATTTAGCATAGGAACACATTTAAAAAAATCAGGCTTGGTCAAGTAGTTGGGGTTCTTTCAAGTGTAACAAAATAAAAGTTAATAGTGCATGAGCTGGCTTTATGTTCTTCCATTTCCTGCTAATGTGGTTGCATTGTATCGAATCATGTAATATTGGTATTATGAAGCTCAAATGCTCACAGCGGGATAATTTGTTATTTTAATATGCATGAATGACTTTTGGATCAAAAGGCTGTATCTTTTAAGTGAAAGCTTTGAAAAGTATTCTAGAACAACCCGCTACTACGATTGTTACCTATATGGACATACGCGGATTTCCGTCATCATTTTCACAGTAAAGAAAAATTATGAGTCTTGAATAAGCTTATTAGCATTCTCCTTTTCTATTTTAATTTAGATAGTAGCATTAATTTCCGTAACCTTCATTCTTCTATCAACAATTGGATTGTCGCTGAATTCACTAGCAATGACTCAAGAATTCCAAAACTACACAGTGGCGGCACCTATTATCACAAACAGGACATGCTGCTTAAAAGAACATCAGCATAGCATCCTTGAGGCTAATGGGAACACCCAATACCATTTGGACAATCTGGAGCTGGTCTGTATTATCTGGTTCACTATTGAATATCTTGTTCGATTCATTGTGGCCCCCTACAAATACCGCTTCTTAAAAAGTCCTATGAACATAATAGACATGATTGCCATTCTTCCCTACTACGTTTCAAAAGCTTTGGACTCCCTCACTGCCATCAGCAAGGTTGTTCAAGTCTTTCGACTGCTGCGCGTCCTCAGAGTTCTCAAACTGGCACGACATTCTATTGGCTTGCAGGCACTAGGATATACCGTTCGTAGATCCTACAAAGAACTTGGCCTCCTGATGATGTTCGTAGCCATGGGTGTTCTCATATTCTCTAGTCTTGCCTACTTTGCCGAGAAAGACGAACGGGAGACCAAGTTTGAAAGCATTCCAGCCACATTTTGGTGGGCAATAATCACCATGACAACAGTTGGATATGGCGATATGAGTCCAACAACCACATGGGGCAAAGTAATTGGTTCCGGTTGTGCTCTTTGTGGAGTGCTTGTGCTCGCCATGCCGATTCCCATAATTGTGAACAACTTTGCCGAATTCTACAAGGACCAGATGCGGCGAGAGAAGGCGGTTCGTCGACAGGAGGAAATGCAACGGGCTCGACAATGCGGAAGTTTAGGTTCGGACAGTCTAGAAATGGAACGAAGTTTAATGGAAGATGGTGCATCGAGAAATATGGGCGAAAACACGATGAGGAACTATAAAACCGCCGTATTTCACGGCGGTTCGGAAAAACGACACAGAGAATGCCATGTCGACATGGAACGGACCTTGAGTGAACCGTTGGATCTTGGAGGTTCATTCAACCATCCTGTAATGAAAAGTCTTACCTCCTCCTTTGATGACTTAAACATTCGAAAGCATTTTTTGGACGTTGCAGTACAGGTTCACAGTTATACAGAACCTAGCGCACCAACTTAGGATGGTTAGTTCGACACATTAGCCAATTTAAAAAACCGGCAAATGCTACAGAGCACTCAGTGCCATTTTATTGCCTTTTTAGTACCTATTCGTGGATCACAACATCAGTCAAATCTATTTTTGATAGAGTCAAACAACCATCAGAGTCCAGTGAATTCGCACTGAGGCTGAGTACTTATGCATCTGTGGTATGCGGTGAAGGTGATTAAAGTTTGTTTTGGTCTGCAAAGTGAATACATCTAGTCATTTCCTTATGATGCTGCATTTATTAACAAAGAATTATTTTGCGCATACGTATTTTTTCGAGGGCTTCCACATATCCGCGCAAAGTATGAGCTTCCGTTTATTCTGTTAACAAAGTATGCGCTAGAGACCAGCAAATGTGCGGCAAGAAGCTAGTGAGTCTAAATTTGACGTCCGCCACGTCCCACCAAATAAGAGGTTTTATTTATAACGCATTTAAGCGCTACTTTGTGATCATTATCAGCATTGATTTAAAAACAAAATGTTAGTTTTTTTCCTAGCCACGCAGCAGCGCTTTATTCGCACTATCAAGTAAGCGTTTTGAAATAATATGAAGGCCCGATTTCCTTATTTAGTGTACCAAGGCAATTCAAACAAATAAAAGTATACGAGTCCGATCTAAAATCAATACAAATTTCCGGTTCAACAATATTTGAGTGGATCATAGCTGCATCTGAAGTAGAAACTAATTATCTATTAAAGTTTTTATAAAAGTGCGTGTGGTTAAATGAAATTCATTCATTTGCTTATTCTCAAGAACGTCTATTTCTGGGAGTAACTAATTTTTTGTTGAATTGTGCGTTAACAAAATACCCAGGTAAATTTTGCGATTCGCGGTTTTCTAAATAAATAAGAGTTGCTGGCCACTCCCGAACTTGAAAAATCTATCTTAAATAATGCTGCAAATCATCAGGTTTCAGTGTGACTACAAAAGAGTAATAGCTAAACTTATTTGATTTAATCCGACTAATTTTAGGTAGGAAGATGATAATATGCCTCACCTATACATGAAACTTCTCATAGAAGTTTTGAGTAAGTCCGGTTTTAACATAAAATAATAAGTACTTGTAAATCTGCTTAATTTTGGAGAGTGTTTGAGCAACCGAAAATATATAAATTTAAGCAAATACTGGCATAAAAATCATGAAGTCATTTCACTTAAGTTTATTTGTAAATCAAGCACTTACACGCATTGTACATACATTTGCAAATACGCTCCATTTCCATGTTTATGTGAGCAATTTACTTTAAGCTTGAATGAACACTGCGAATCTCTCATTAAGTCACTGATCTGGCCACCATTGTTGCCTACATAACATGTACTTGTTTCAGTGATCTGTAACATGAGTAGCGATGATTGTCAAGCAAAATTTAGAACCCTTCTTTTCAATAAAATCGTTACTTAAATAGCTAACCTTTAACAACCCTTGATTCGGCGGTTTCGGTATAATAAGTATTACAAAAAGGCACACCTCGCCCACCAAAGCAAAGGCAAGTACACAAGAAAAGGTTGTGAAAATTTAAAGTTTTTTCAATAGCTTAGAGACTTTTATTCGGACCTACTTCCATAGCAGCTACAAAGCGCCATCTTAAACGAGTTTTTCAACAAAAGCTGAAATTTTTTGACTGTCGAAATGTAAGCTGAGAACAGAATTTGTCAAAATCTGTGCTTCTCATTTACTTTTGCATTAAAAGTGACTACTAAAACATGTAAAAATAGGCAAACAACCGAAATGTTTTTAAAATGTCAAAATGTCATAATACAGCTACATTACCGACGCCATGAATGATTAGCAGCTGTTGATAAAAAGTCATATAGATATTGACACCGCAACAGTTTGACAAATTGCTAGACATTTTGTGCGAAAAATACTTCAGGCATATGGTAAAGAGCATCCACGCCCTGAATTCTGGCTCTTAACAAAGATAAGAATAGTAGCGTTCCGGGCGGCTGTTTCAAAAGTGACCAACTTTCAGTGCCTATATAATAGATCCACTTGATTCCATGAAATTGGTCGCCGAATTTGAATGCAGCGGTGTACAACCAATCGTAAATTTGAATGTTTAAGCAATTCCTTCATTTATCTGAAATGTTAGTGCATTGCAGTTTGCAAATCAGTTTTTTAGTCTAGAAAGACAAATGTGGCCATTTATAGCAGAATCGCAGTCTGAAAGATTTGTAGAATTAGGCAATAAAGGTTATGCTTCATTTTAAAAGAGTCTGGCAAGCTATTTAAAAATAAGGCGGAAGCAAGGCTTAAATCGCCATTTGCCCTCACCAAACACATTTTTGCAATATTTTCTTAAATTGTGACATTCAATTTATGCTAATATTTAACGTACAAAAAGTATAGCCAAGAAAAGTTATCACAACAAAGCGTACTTGTAATGCATTGGTTGTTTAACTCTCGGTTTTGTTAAAAGGCCACTTTGGGTTTCCGCCATTGTACCTTCGTCGGGTGGTCTGGATTCCGCGCCAAGCCGGCGGCTCCAAGCCCTTCTGGGGACCGAATATATACATATTTAAGCCAAATATTGTGCCTTTTTTGTCTTCAGGGCGGTATTAGGGTACTACAAACTCGATTGATAAACCAGAAAATGATTTAAATAGTTTAAAATCCAAAGGAAAATTGCAAACCTAGATTTCTTTTTGTGCGTTTAACTTCGTTCATGTCGCGTAATGTTCGCCTAGTTGTTTAAAATCAGGTGTTCCGTTAAGGCACTTAATTTCTGGCATGCTTTCCTTTTGTCTCGTGGGAGTGTTTTCCACTGTTATTAATAGTGTATGGCACATTTTTCATGTAGATTATAAACTGCTTTATGGAATTTGGGAAGCACTTTCATCAGTTTTGGAGGTCTGAATGGGAATTGCCTAAGTGTTTTGAAGACCATAGTTCGCTAGTCATACTGTAAAAGAGAGGTTTAAGTGCTATTCAGTAAGGGTTGCGCAATTTCATATTGCCTTACATAGTAGCCATGTTTATAATCTCTTCTACCTTAATTTGGTCTAGCGTAGCATTTGGTGAAAAGGATTAAGCCAGCTTTTGAAAAACAAATGAGATATATTCTAGCAGACCAATTTGCAGGAACTAGATTTTAGGCACCGTTCCATGCAATTTGAATTTAACTCTTGAAGCATTACACTTTGCGTACACTTTGGATTGTCGTTAGAATTGTCCTATCTGCACTAAATGCTTTACACCACTAGCGCAAGCTTCTGATATGATGCATGCAGAAATGAAAGCGAACAATAGCTTTTATGCCGAATTCGCAAAAGTCATAGCTAATTTACACGTTGAAATAGGTTGAACTTTTTGTATTACCAAAACCACTAATTTTTTATTGTGAAACTTTGTACTGCAAAATTTATCAGGGTTCTTCTATTCTCGAATAAAAAATGCTTATTACTTATGCATCTTTTTCGTCTATTTGTCAGCAAAATCACTTAATGGTTTGTAATGCGAGATTTGGATAAGCCGAATTCCCACACGAAACGGTTTTGTTGCGGATTCTTGGTGTGTATGAACATGTAGTAGAAGTCGTCTTTGTCTGTTCTCGACTGCTTTTCATTGCCCCTTTTTCATTGTTGTGATGAGACCGTTCTCTCAAAAATTTGAGAGGACATATTGAACTCAATGTTCTTCCCGGTGATCTTTATTTTATTTGGTCTAACCTTTTGAATCGACGTGGTGAATCAATTGGTCAGTTTCTTGCGACTTAAGCTTTTATTTATCGGTTTTAACGTTACAGTGGATCATTAAGTATTCGTGCATCACCGATGTCGGGTAAAGCGCTGGCATGCTTTACCCTCCCCCCCCATGCTCAAAATGTGTTTATTGAAGGCGAATACGATATGGCAATCTTATTTAAGTGGAGGCACGATAAAATTCACTGATGGTTTGTCCGGAATCGTCGCTATTTTGCCTATCAGTCTCTTTTGGGGGGTGGTTTCGATGTTGCTGATGTATATTGTGTTCCGGTGCTTTTTGCGTACGTTCTTTGTGTCTAGGAAGATTGTGTATTCGGTCGATGGCGGTATGCAAGTTTCTAATCGTGAGGCACTTTTGCACAGCGGATCTTCCCTATCTCCTCTCCTTCTAGTTAATATTGATACTTACTAATTTCATTAAGCCATACAGCACCTAATCCTAACGTCCCGAATCTCAATACTCTGCATAGGTAATGTACTGGTTTTGACTACTTCACACATCTGTCAACAATAAATTTAATGTGTTACTTTATCTTGACCTTCTTTTGCATGCAACATAGACCACCTTGACTGATAATTGGAGATTTATGACTAATGAGCTGATAAAAGTGGGGAAGCACTGCTAATATTTGTGCTGTGAATGCGCACCTATTATTCTTGAAAACCATATATCTCATTTTACACCATAAAGAGACGTTGTCTACATGCAGGCAGATTCCACTCTGATTCCGCACTTGGAGACGATCAGGTGATCAAAATCAATATTCATTAAGCGGCAGTCTACGCGTCTCGGTACTAACAGCAAGTTCCAATTTTTATATGCAGTTCCTTGACAATCTTTGGCACCTTGTTCTCTTGGGTCTCTGTGTCGCTGGTACCCTGATTCTTCTCTCAGTGGACAGAATCGAGAAGAGCGGTATCTTTGGCAGCAAACTCGAGGTTGTCGATGAGGTTTTTAACGGTGGACGACGCTGGATCACTCGTAACGTTATTACCGTCGCCCTAGCGACGTCGTGTACATTGTCACCGAGCATCATCTCCGAGGCTATTTACCTCTGCAGTGTTAATTCGCTTTGTTTATTCGCCGCAAGGACAGCTAGCTTGCTGCTATGCGTTTGGCTGTGGCACAAAATTGCCCAGCTGGGCCTGGGTAGCATGACTGCTTTTATGGCCTTTCGTTTTAACAATAAGTTAGCCCTATTCCTATACCACATCAATTCTATCTTTGGATTTATCTACATCCTACTCATCTACAACGGAACTCTACTTTATAGTCAGCTGGAGTATTTTAAGCTGAATGTAGATGGATTCCTACTGTTCATCGGCTTCATGCTGTTATGCAGCTTTGGTGGGATGCGTATCGTCCTACCGTTGTGCTCTATTCTCAGTGTAATGGAAATCTGCGGAGGCATCATGCTCCTGGCAAGGATTGAAGGATTCAACAAGACCATGAAAGAGGCGGGCCGCAACCACTGCAGCAGTCACAACCCCCTTCACCTACTGGGCACAGTCTTCCCCCTCCTCCTGACAGCACAGCCACTATACCAACTCTACTACCACATCGGTCCCCAGTGGAGGGCAACGACAGCTATAACCATAGGATACTGCGTTTTTATCCTAAAGTTCCTCCTCGCCTTCTTTGCTGCACAACCCATTAGGATACACGGAAGGAACCTAAGTATACCAATTGGTCGAGACTTCCATACAACCTTCTTCGGTACCACAGAACAGCACAACCTAAAGCGCCAGTTGGAAGGTATCCTTCATGGTGGGGATCTAAGCGACTATGCAATCCGAGTCAGTGTTCTCAGTAAATTGGACGGCTTTACGCTCAACTGTCTTGTCTATGGTCCCATGGCCGCTTTCTACAGTCTCCGACTTTGCCAAATTGTAGGTGAACTGAGCGAAAAATTTATCTCACACCTCCAGATAACGTCGGTAAAACTGACCGGAGGTGAGATGCAGCATATCTATTGTTCTCTCTATAGCCTCATAGCCTGTTTCGTGTTTGTGAGCCTGCTTAGCGCAGATAGAAATATCCTAATGCCTGAATACCGCCATGTCTCTCTGTATGTCCCTCATATTACGAACTTCTTCATGCTCAGCGTCACGACGATGATTGTGTTCGGCGCAGTGGCGCCTCTTGTGCGACTCGTCCACATTCTCTCTGCATGGGGCCTGACTACCCTCCTTACCGCCGTGCCAATGTGCACAATCCTCTGGAGTGGTTACAGTGCGACCATCAGTGAGGCAGTGGTTGATTGGGAGATGCCCATCGACGACATCTGGCTATGCCTCGGTGTGTGGACTAACTTTGGGTGTTTCCTGATCAACATCCTCCTTGTTGTACTACTAGTGTGCCATTTCAAGGAAAGGGGGACATCGATTTCCGAAGAAAACATTCATCAGGCCCAACGCACCAACCGGGTTTCTCCAGGCCACTCACGAGCAGATCACTTACCCGCAGAAATTCGGTCTTGAGTCGGAGTCAAAGAGCCTAACGTTGACAATAATATACATAGCGTCCTCGATGAAAAAGAAATAAAACAACAACGACGGACATTCGGGCCAGTGTGGATAAAGGGCATACTAACCATCGCGTGCTAATTTGTCGCACAGAAGCAAATTTCCAAAATAAACTGACAATCACAAATGTGCGGAACAAATGTATGAAACACTAAGGAACGTTATTTAATTAAACCAAAAAGTGGTTTCAGATTCTAAGCTTCCGAAAATCGAAAATCAAACTAGCTTTAAAATGCTTTTATCATTAGTATACTTTTTCGGCAAAGGTTCAAAACATGGTAATATACAGAAACGAAAAACCACTCAACGTCGAGAACCACGAGCTTTTGGCGACCTGGATCTGCGGTGACCTCCAGAACGGGACCGAGACCTTCTGCGTCTAGAACTTCCACCGTAACGACGTTTACTGCGATTGTAGAGTTTGCGACATAGTTCACGGGATATGGGCTTCAAATGCATAAAGTTGCAGAAACCACCACGCGTGCATTCCCTAACCACAAGATAAAACATAGCAACCAGCGAAAATAGACAACTCATGCTACAAAAGCGTGATGGGTTGTAAAGATCGTGTAAAAGTCATGAATTCGACTATTTAAACATACCACAATTTGCTGAATAATCATTTGACAAACAAAAAACAGCCCGCGTAACAGTAGGCAACAGCTGAATTAACGCAGTGAAAGCTAGTATCCAGAATAAATTTAGCCGGTCATCAGAAATGACTAGAATCATTCTAATAAGACCAGTAAAACAACCACAGCCATCACGAGAGGGAAATGGGGGGGGGGGGTGAAAGAGGCATCCGACGCACCCCAGCTCGTATTGTCGGCAACAAGCCTCGCGAAAATCAGTGACGGGAGAAAGTTCCGCGTGAACAGGTCTTCCACCAAACCAACGTTGGTTTAACATTTTAACCGCCTTTTCAGCGTCTTCTTCTCTACGAAACTTATAAAATTTGTGCTAATTTACGGTAGCCAACCTTAATATATACATTGCCGACCAGATGATCGCCCAGATTATCACAAACATTCATTTCTTCAATCTCACCGTACTTTGATTCGCATTCAACAAAAACCTCCTCAAAGAATTCATCGAAGATTTCCTGAGCTTGAACTTCAGTCATGTTTGCAACATTCTAGGAATGCACTCAAAAGACGGAGAAAACTTGCCTGATTGGCATTGTTATGCGGAGCGATATATAGGTTTTGAAGCAATATCGTCTAAACACACTCAAAGAAAGAAGAACCATCTACCTGGCTGAATGTAGGCTTATTGTGCAGCCTCGAGCATTGTTCTCCATGTCGACATGCGCCGATCTTGAAATAAAAGGAGCAATTAACTCTGGAAATCATGCAACATGACTAAAAATTACTTGTCCTTCTCAGTTCCGAAAATTGATGCTAGGTACTCAGCCATCACCAGACATGTAAGCGACCGCACGTACCGCACTAGGGTGGCCTAGTAAAACAAATACATTAGTAGCATCAAAGAAGGAGATTGAAGTAAGTATTCTGCTTCTTAAAAAATAATAATTTTTTATTTAATTTTGTTGATTTAAAAGCTGTTACTTTTTGCAACCACACTGCATGAGCCTACTAATGTAATTAGGTAAGTTGCTATTTCAGTGAAATTTTAGAAAAGTATTTCCCTTTATTGCAATGAATTTTCAGTAAGCAACAGTGGCAGAGTAACAAGTGCAATCCTTTAAAATACAAGTAGTTATAAACCAGTGAATTAATTAATGAGTAAATGGTCCATTCTTGCAAAGTACTGAGATGCAGTAGCTAATCTCTAAGTTGATTAAACCTACATTAATGGTGCATGCCAAGAGATTTTTTGCATGATATCATTGAGTTTTTTATGTCTTCAAACAAGGAAAACTTTGTTATATTCCACATAATTTATTTAATGAAAAATTGCATGTAACGCAAAAATGCTTTAGTGGAATCATTTCAGACGGGCCACCATTTGCTTGACCTGTTCGATGTGTGGGCCAACGACAGAATCAACCATTTCTCCGTTTTTAAACGCCATGAATGTGGGCATAGCGACGATCGAATAATCAGATGGAGCGTCCTACGGGCAACAAAATCATAAATGCATTTGCTATAGTGTAAATCGTCTTAAAATAACAGGGCTAAAATGGAATTGTACTTATAAAGAGCAGTAAAAAGCTGGAAAATTTTGGTCTAAAAATGTTATTATTTTTAATTGGTGCTTTAACAGCGAAAATTGTGATGTGTTTATCAATAGTTTGCTAGGACCTGGTCATCAAAATGATTTCCTAGTTGCCCGCGATTCAAAAATTTTCAGCCCATTGCTTTAATCAATTGATTTTGGAATAATTTCAGTTAGCCTGTAGTATTACGGTCATATCTTCCCCCAACTTTAAATAATTTTGAATTTCCTGAGTTTCATTAACCTCATAAACATCGATGTCAAGCTTCGCGAACTTGACACTGGTTTCATGTTCGGCGAGTTTCTCGTAGGCGACTTTCACGGATTTGCAAGGACCACACCAGGTTGCGAAGAAGTCGACGATCACCAGGCACTTGTGGCTCATTTCCTTTAGGCTTTCCATATCATTCTACGACCAAGGGAGATCACAGTTTACAAAAAAATTGACATTAATAGGTAAACGTGCACCATACTTTAATAGAATGGCATAGAATAGGATTTAGTACAATTTAAATCGCAGCAATGATAAGAGCATATTGCTGCCACGTACATAGGCGTGAATGCGATATTATGGAATATATAACATCAAAGATTCCCTTGTTTAATTGAGCAACCTTATAACACGCGAATTTTGCGAATAATGCTTACTCTAGTAAGTAAGTAATAATTAAGTTACTGCAGTAAAAACAACAGAATGAAATAAATATATATCGGGAATTCTCTTCATAGTCTGACAGGAATTAATCTCATTAGCTAAACATAAATTTTCCAGTCGAATAGCGCGTCGTATGTAATAATCTAGACCGCCATACAATCCGGAATACCCCTCTTTTTTATTCACACTGATGCTTCGGTAGAATTCTGTCGCAGGATTGGAGATTTCAAAGTATTTGTCAAATTTTGGCTAAAAAAATAACGGTCTTAAAAGGTGTTAATAGAAATTTGCTTGTAACCGCTTTGTGTACTCATTCAGTTACTTCAGAACTGTAGCGTTGTCTGCACTTTGAGTGGCTAAATATTTTCCACATTTACTTTTCTGCCATGAAAATATTGCATTTACTGCCATCTTTTTAATCTGTTTAAGGGAAAATCGTAGTAAACGCCAGTAATCCAGCGAATTCGAATGCAAGAACAGTGTAGTGGAGAGGATTATTGTGATTTGGTCGATAAGTACGGCAAAACAAAGTGTCATGATTACATTTTACAATTTAATAGCGTCGTTATTGCGTAAAGGGCAATACCTTCGGTATTTTTGGGTGAAACACTAAAATACATTGAATTCCTTGCATTGCTTAGAATGAGTAGATCACAAGTAAGGTTAGTCTATGAGTTGCATCACTGAAGAGCCCATGACAGTTACAGCCAAATTTTGAATAACATTGCAAATAGTGATAAACCTAATGGGAAAGCAATTTTCAACAAATAACATATTTAAAATATCAAATTCTCCACTTGGCAGCATTTAAATCCTGCTTACCTCATCGTTTATTACCGTGATCAGAGGTGGTACCTCAGCATCCTTCGCTTCCATCTCGTTTCCACTGCAGCTTCAAATGAAGATGCATCTAATTCGACCTAATCCCTTAATACATAACGTCAACGCCCCTGCAACTAAAACATTGGACGAGTAATTAGACCTGCCTTGGAAATGAAATGGGTGATTAAATGTCGGACTAATGCTTCGGTTACTTTATCTTAAGGTGTGGTGAAGTTAAGCCCCCGTGTATTTTCAACTGCCTGCTTAAATGGAAATTGTGACTTCGCCCTGGGCATTAGGAGTGGTCGCGGGAGTGTCTACCCAGTAACTTTACTTTACTGTTTGTAAATCCATTAAAAGCTAGTCTTATCAATTAAGAAGTGAATGAAACAGTTGGACTTTCCGTGATGTAAACACACGTATCTTGAGGCGTGAGAAATGAATTTTTCGTTCTATTAAAAACTATAGAAGAGCCTAAGGGTAGAAATTCCTTCAAAAGTCTGGTTAGTTATATCAAAGCATATACACGACCTTTTTTACTGAGCTAAAATACAAATAAAAAACGTTCTATTACTTCGATCAAAGTAAAAGCATTTCTACGAAGTCCATTGGGCATTGTTAAATCTATATGACAAATTATTCAGCGTTACCTGTTTACAAAAAGTTAAAACATTGCATAAATTCTGATGTGTTTAAAATATGTTTCATTCAAACGGTCGGAAACAAATCGAACAAAAACACAGCCGGTGGTGCAAAAGTAGTATCAGACTACTACCACTACTTCTGTTGTTTATAGTGTTGACTATGTAGAAACCTTTTATATAATCCTACTTTAATAAGGGATGCAAATAATATGTCGCTTTAAAATATATTCGTTAGACGCGGTGGATCGTTAGTTCGATTCTGCAAATGGGTAAATGCGGGCGTTGTAAACATTGGAAGGTATTTAACACTTAAGATGTTTCACATACAAAATCCATATTTTATATTGGGTTTCCATTGGCTCGCTTTCATCTTAGACGAAGCATAGTTTTAGAATCATTATTCTTTACCCTGAAGACCCGTCGTATCTATCGGATCCCATCTTCGTTTTACAAAAGCCCTTATATGTCTAAGTAAATAAATTGAAACGAATTGAAATCAATTATTCATAAAGAAAATACCAAATTTTGTTGTTAATACAAACCGTAATACTCTAAATAACATCGACTGAGTGATTACTGTAAAATACATGAGTCAGTTTAAAAACGCCTAAACAGGATGCTTTGTAAAAACAAAGATGACATTTTTGACCCACACACATTAATATGCTGCAGTGTTTAAGGATAGAGGATGAATTTGAAGACGGTCATAAAGACAAGTAGTGCTTTGATAGATAGTTTAACTCTGAGTTTGATTACGCAATCCCAGGGCATGGCCTGAGGGCATGCAGTAACCTCAGCTCTTTTGGAAAAACTAAAGTGTACACGTGCATTTTGAAGATGCAACGAAACACAAAAAAATCGAAAGAACAAATAACTTTTCATGGTATATTTCATTGTGCGACCGCTTTAACGCAAACACATACATAATTGAACAACGAAGAGGAGTTCACTTGTTGACCTTACTTTATGACGGGAGATCAGAAATGTCAATAATGCGAATAAGGAAAAGAAACACTGCCTTGATGCCATCTATTCAATTTCTTTCATACGCTTAAATTTGCGAATGCAAGTGCGCAATTTGGCATAGTCACCTCCAACTTGCGTTCCGATTTCCTCATGGTTCTTGAAGAAATAGAAGGAAGGAACAGCGTACAGGCTGTAGAAGGGTATCAAATCCTGTAAATAATGCCATCACACGGTTAATGTTAAAATTGAAAATGAACAACTAATGGGCTGAACAGATGACAAATAACCAGTGCTACTTTAATAGTAAAAGTAACGAAATTGCTCAAACAAAGATTTCCACACGCTACGTAAATTTGTCAGATCTCGCGCCGTTAACTGGCAGCTTCTTAGGGACTTTTTTAAAAAGCAAACCTATGATTATTTCTTTTAGTATTTCCACTTAATACTGACGCTCTTTTGAGGTACAACTACAGTTGGATGTAGAATCAAAGTCAGAACACACTTGGGCATCATCGATGTCAATAATGACAAGAACAACATGCTGATCCTCTTTTGCTAGCGATTCCAGATGCGCTTTGAGTTCTAGGGAATGTGGGCACCATTCGGCTATAAAAATGAAGACAACCAACTTTTTTGCATGCGCTCCTAAGAGAGTGTGGCATTCTTCCTAAAACCAGATGGAAATCTAATTTACATTTTGAATTTCAAATAAGCTTAATAAACATCTTATGTGCACAAGTAAAATGTTCCATGTAGAGAAAATGTGGACTTCGGTCTTGCATTAATAAGCAATAAAATTAAAAGCAACTTGTTATTTGACGCAGGTTTTGCTTCAGTCAAAAAATAGGAATTATCGAGCATATCCACTAATGCTCTATTTAATTTGTGAAAAACTGAGGACCGTAAATAACTTAGCAGCAAAAATATTCAGCAGCTAGATATTTTTAAGTTTTACTTTGTTAAGTCCTTCATTGTTGGAGGTTAATTGCAGAATTACCATGCTCTATTGAGAACTATCGCATATCTCTTAGGTCCCACACTAAGCGCAGTAGTTTTGTGACGATTTTGAATGTAACGACGAAAGAAAATCTTTAGTTGCCTAGAGTCATATACAAAAAGCGATATATTTGTCATCCTGCTGCAAAAGTAAAAAACTTTCAATTTTTTGAGTAATGCCTATTTACTTTTACTATAAGAGAACGGGGAAATCAATGTATTGGCTGACGGATTAATTAATACACGCCAAATTGAGTTTCATTTGCAAAATGTGTTCCTGATTCAGCGTAACTGAGAGGAATATGTCAATTTCTCGTATAATGCCTTAGCTAATTTTACGTTTTTATTATTTCAAATAAATCATTAAATTGGTGAAGAACCCACATAAATGAACAATTGATTATTGGCGTACTCTTGAAATTAGTTAAGACAAATATTCTGAGCAATTGTGAAAGCTTATGACTAAATATTCAACATTCCCTTTTGTTGTATTATAAATATCAGATTGAACAATATGTGCTGATATAAGGAACCGTTTGGAACTTATTCATCTCTATCACCTGAATAAGACTAATATTTTTAGGGCATGGTTAAGACGTCTAATCAACAAAAACTAAGACTTGAGGAAAATTTAAATACGCTTCAACTATGCAAATACATTTCCACAAGCTTATGACAGTACATTGATGCAAAATTTTAAGTTGTAAAAGCCATTGATCAAAGCAATTTATTTGTAGAAAGGAAAATGACCATCTCTATACGTACTTTTGTGGAGGCATAGTGAAGTTGATGCTGTAGATTAAGACTGCTTCGTCTAGGGCTTCTTTTTGGGGGCATGCCCGACTTTTACAGAACAAACTGTGTAGTTGCAAGAGCTTAAATAAGGAACCTTCCAATCCATATTCGGTAACCATTGGATGGCGCCTGTTTTGTTGACGTCGTTCTAGTAACTCTCGTATTTTTGTCCCATTAAGCTTTGAAACTACTTAATGGCATTAATGCAACAAACTTTAAAGCCAAATAAACAATATTTCAGTTTTGGGATATGACAATTCAGCTACACTTTAACATTTCAAATCAACCTGCGTGTCAGATTACGTCAGTACTACCACACATCTTAATGAACAGTTTGAACAGGCAAGAGTGATGATTTTGCATCTAGGTAATGTTTTACTGCATATGTTTGTGTATTTTTAAGCCCTTCCTGCACTAGCGGATTTCAAATTTGGTTGGTTTTCGATACCAAATCACCTTTGTGCTTCCATCTTTAAACAAATATTCGCAGTGATAAAAATAACCCTGCCTTACCATAGACCATAAGTTGTGTCTCGTACAAGTTATTCGATTTTATTACATCATCTAGAAATTCGAAGATTTGCTAACAATTAATTAGTTCCTGTAAGTGAATAATTTGTGCATCAACGATTAGCAACAAGATACTGTCTATATCAATTTTAAATGGCAACATTGTTTTCGATCCATTTATTCGGCTTTTGAATAAAGTTTGATGCTATGGGTAAGTAATCAAAGTCCACAATTCTTTAGCGTTTAAGCCATTCAAAGATATGCGGGAGAATAGAACCTTGGGGCGTGAAAGTACCTATTTTCTGTCGGTCAAGCACTTAATCTGACATAAAATTAAAGACTTTAACTATTTGATGCATTTGTACTTTTGGCGTACATTTTTAACATCACACTTGCTCTTCAATTCTTATTTGAGCGTACTTTGCTGGGGGCTTGCAATTGTTTAAGCACATGATTGCTTCTTACATAAAGTATGCAATGCCGTATTTGCTATTCGGGAATCACTACTTTCACAAGCACAACTGGTAATTTAGAAACGTGACAGGCCAACATTAATTGCATTTATGCTAAAAAAAACGCAAATAACACCCTGTCTAATATATTGAAATGCTGTGGATCTTTTAATCATAAAATAAAGGTTTAACCTTATTTATTTAATAGCAAAATAGCTAATTAGGGAACATAAACCATGATTCGAACTTTTACATGGTAAAGAGGCAGTATAATGCTGCCAAAATTAATTCGCACAATTTATGCAGATGGTTGTTGCCACGCTTTAGTAATAATTCAAAAAACGTGTAAATCGTAAGATTTTGTACACACTTTTTGATAATTTAGACTTCACTGTCCTCCTGTTTTATTAAGTAGATGAAGTTATTTCACTTTTTAAAAAGGGAGGCCTAATATTTTCTTTTACAATAGATCCTCATGTTTTCGACGTCTTGGAAGCAGTTTAGAAGGCGATAAAATTACTCCAATAACATAAATTAGTGCTCCACAAACCAAACATGACATTGATTACCACTCCAGGAGGCCTCGATGGGCGTCCCAACCTCATCATGTTTATTCATAGGTAACCTTTTCATTGGGATTTATTCACCAGTCAAATGTACACTTTTACAGAACTTGACTTATATTTTTAAGGCTCAAACAAGGTAAATAAATAAAAATTAAGTTAACTTTTTGTTTAATTTTATTAACACAGGAAATTACTAGCTTTAACACAGATGGCTATAGTGCTAAGGACCAAGTGCTACTACTGTCATTGTTTATTTTAGAAGATTTTTTTCTTGCATTTGTTTGACAGATTAAATGTGCGTTATTGTATTCCTACAGAAAGGAGTAGTCCCCTTTTGATTCAAGCCGTTCATTGTTATAAACGTCAATCATTTGGTGCCTGCAGCTTTACCTTTACTAAAAACATGTTTTAACGCAATTACGGGCCCAAAGTGAAACCACTAAGATGTTGTGCAGCCCAAAGTGCGCAGAAAGCCAAAGGGTTTAAATTACAAAGGGTTTAAATTAATTAGGAAATTTGCAGAAGATCAATTGTTGAGCTGGATCTCTTCTTGCTTCTAAGTCATTTATTTGCAAAAATCCCTATGGATGGTTGCATTGAATGGATGTACAAAAATGAGACCGGCGGGAGAGCTTGTGAGTCATGGGACCTCTTAACACAAACACACTCACAGACAAATCAAAGTGACAAGCTCATTCGCGCTCCTGAGGGCAGGCGATGAAGGTTTTCGAATACTTCTCAACATCCTTCTTGAGCTTGGTCGGCTTGGTGGTCACGCGTCTACCGAGCTGTGACAACAAAACAACATGATTAATTCCATTACCAGGCTTAATTTTGCATTATATACGAGGACCTTGGTACCTAAGCTACTTACAAGAGTACGCTTTCGGAAGAAGAGAAATGTCGGACAGGCGGTAACGTTTAGATCACGCGCAAGTTGCTGGAGAAGAAGGAATAGAAGAACGACGATTTTTCTTCATATTCGAGGAAACCAATGAAGGGCATGTAAAGAGAAGTAACTCACAAGATTTCTTGTAGCGTCGACTGCGAGGATAATGAGCTTTTTGAAGTCCTTGCTAATTTCCTGAAGTGTGGCCATAAGGTTCTCGAAATCCTCATCGTTAAATTTTACGAAAGCCACCATGATTAGTCTCGCCTTGGCCTCATCAAGACACTCGTCAAATGACATGTTAATCTAAAGAAGTTTGGAAGAAAATTTGATGTTTAGCCGTGAAAATTGAAATGGATATATATAGTCACCAGTGTACCTCACAAAGACCGGACATTATTTTTTCCTAAGAAGAAAAAAAACAAATACATTATTAGAATTCCTGTGGAAATGGAGTGTGAAGTTGTCTGCTCTAGGTTGCAAATACTTACAGTTAATACAGTTGTTAGGTAATCCAACAAACTGGCGCTCTCAAATGATTGACTTTGTGAATCCGTAAGTATTTAAGTCGCTGAAAGGTAGTTGAATGCACACCGCTAGGGGCAATCTGATTGGGTTCTCAACTTCACCTCACCTATCTAAACACTTACCACCTACGTGATGGAGAAAATGCCTAGGTAGTGTCAGCGGAATTTAGACTCTATTCTTGGCTCACGGTGCCCGCTATTTCAGAGTCTTAGTCATCCACTCACGAGGCAATCTATGGCGTAGTCGAAGAACCTAAGAACTACGGTCGCAGAAATTAATTTAAATATGTCACCTGATGTTTAAAAAGTCATGTTAGTCAGTACCTCAATAATCATGATGATCTGAATTCAATAGAAGAATCACTTTAAAACCTCTCCTTTAAATATATATTTATGGACAAAAAGCTACCTCCAAAAATTAGTGATGTATTTTGATGCAGACACTACTTTCTTACACCCTACAGGTCTTTAAAATTTCTATTAGTCAGCCATACAACCTTAATGACCCAGATTATTAGTAAATATCACTGGATGCTATGAGAAAGAACATTCAAGAAGCATATTGAGAGTAATAGATAATTAGCTGTGTTTAAAACAAAACTTCGGTAAATAAAGTGAAACGCACCAACTATGTAAAGCAGGGCTTCGTGCGTAGTAATAAGGTGCTGAAGAGATCGCAAACACCTTATCAGATCTGATGAATAAGACGGAATAGTCAGCACAGTTAATTAAGCTAATTTAAAAGTTGCTGTGTAAGCAGTTATAAAAGGCAAACTTGTTAAGAATGAGGAAGAAAAATGATTTTCTACATCGATTCCCTGTCGGCCTTTACGAATGATGTAGGTATCTACAAGATTTGAGGCAAATAGATGATTTGCTCCACTTGGATCGCAAATTTTAATTGCTACTTTATGTTCGCTTTTAATAGATCATATTGTTTTCATAAGTTATTTTCAGTTTTTCCATGAAAAGGGAGTAAAATTAACCTAATTTGTGATCTCTTTCCAACAGTCGCTTGCAATGATTCGTTTCTTAATTGCAATGTCTGTAGCTTTCACACTGACAAATTCAAAGCTTAAACTGAGGAAAGGTTTGGAATCAATATTTTCCAGCATTTCGATACTTCAAATGCCCCTACGATTAAAAAAGAGGATTGGTTTTGTTCGTTTAACCGGAAGGTCACAGTTCAGGTGTTGGCGTTCGATGTGAGAGGCATTTGTGTAGAAGCAGTGAGAGTACATTGCGTCACAACATTATTCACTCTCTGTGAGTTGCAACTGCTTACATAAGCTCCTTTAAGTCACATTGAATAGGAAAATCTGGGTGTGACAATTACACCCGAAGAATTATCTTGCCAATTTCATCCTGACTTTTTGAATCCTTGGTGGGAAAACAGTAGAAAGCAAATAACACCTGCTAGTACAGGGCAAAGTTAAATGTTAAATGCAAAATTCCTCTCTGGTTAAGCCCAAAAACATTGCAAAATATAAAGCAAGGATGATTAATGCGAGCCAACGCATACAAACTTGGCTAAAGGGGTCAATAATTCTGGTTGACACAGAACTGATACATTTATTCATTGTTTTGTTGGAAGGCCCAACACGATAAATGTGCCATTAGTAAAACACGTGAAAGTGTTATCCACGATATGATTCTAGTATAAATTTGCCAAGTTGCGCTATTCATTAAATTCGAGCGTGCACCAAAAATTACATACGCTTAAAAATTTTAGCTCGTGTTTTTGGTTAAGTAATCTCTTAAATTATCCATTTTGAATAACCTTATTAGGAGGAAATTATGTGAACCAAAATAATCACCAAATCATTAAGCAGATGTTACATCTTAATAGGTGTATACAACTTGTGGATTAAAACTCGTGTATGGTACGTCAGTATAAATCTTCAAGTTCTAATGACACAATAACCTGTTAAGTAGCTCTTATTTAGGTCAATTTTACGATTTAAAACACTGTTCAACGTTATATCACCCTACTTTTCTCCGTGAGAGTGCGCAAGTTTTTTTGGCGATGTAGTATTTTTTTGTCTCCGTCGACTAGCATCAATTGCACACAAGGTCGGTGCCAATGCGAAGTGATGTCTGGCAGAGTATGAGTGCTTCGGTGATGAATAATTTGAATTGCGACAGGGGTGTGGGCCTCGACTGATCTTCTCATCACTAATAGCACGCAAGCACAAAGACAATGCCATGCTGGCATTGGTTAAAAAAGGCAAAATAAGAAAAGTACGTTGATTTGATTATTGAAAATGCATTCTAGTGTTAGACATCGGAGAATGAGTTTAACCCAATCAATGGAAGGAATACCACACTATTTGTAACAAGTTCGTCCGATATCACAGAATAATTTATTCCTTGGTAAATTTTGTTTTCAGAATGCAGTTCCAACTGTATCAGCACATTACTTCTTAAAACTTCTGATATATTTGAAAGTGAGGTGTCACGCAATTACAACCGGTAGACGAATGCTCCACAATAGTGAAAAGCACTAGAACTTTGCAAATAGAAACATGATAAGGTGATAAGTGATACGTAATTATAGACAATTAATATGAGGTTAGTTTAAAGCCGGATGTTTCTAAGTGTATCTCAAGTGTCACTGGAGCAATAAAATCCTAGCATTTATAGTTTTGTAAAATATATTTTTAGATTTAGAATATTTCTTGGGATAACAGGGATTTACGTTTAATCCACTTTCCTTCCGAGGTTTTATTTCGCGTTTCCGGCATCAACAATGATATTTATGCAGAGGGTTCAAAAAGCTCATATAATTTAACAATAAAGGAAAAATAGTTATAATAAGTCATTAGTAGAGGTCCAGCTACTAGAAATGGTAAAATATTTACGCTTTGGCTATCTGAATTTTTAGCTGCTACAAAGTATTTTGAAACTTCGTTTAACACCGCGTTTGATGATGTAGGCACTGAAGTCTGGGTAAATTGTACCTCCACTCAGCGGCATGGCCTCAGGACCATTCCAGTAGTCCCGACTCTTCTATGGGTCAGTAATTTATCTTCTTACGAATTCAGAAAAGACGCGGAACGCTAAACTGGTGACAGTGGCAAGTGAATCCGATCCTAAAAGTCAACTACCTTTAATCCTATTGTTGATAGACAAACCTTTGCGTTACGAAAGAAGGGCAGTTGTCAACAATGGTAGAACCTGTATAGACTTTTAACAGAAGATTTAAAACCAACTTCAACCTTCGATAACTATCCCAGTCCCGTGTTCTGCGAGAATGTCTTTAAAATCTGAAGCGATATTAGAAGTGAACCATTTAGAAAGTTTCGTTCAGGGGCTCTCCACGGTACCTCTCTAAAGATGTCGCTTAAGTGAACACGCGATACCTCCTCCACCTCTTTACTGTCTAAGTAGAAGCCAAAGAGGTGGGGCTAGACAGCACTGAAGAGAGAACAAAATGGTAAGGGGGAGTGGAGGCGGAAAATTATCCTCCTAAATCTATTTTGAACTAGGTCTTTTATTAAACGATTCCGCTTTTAGGGCACTGTTCGTAAGACTGGAGATGGGTAGAGTGTCTAACCAGTCTCCAGTGGTATGAGGATAGTGCATTCCTTTGCTCCCCATTACAGTTCTCAAATAAAACGAAACTTTAAAACTAATGGAATTGTCAAGATGGATTAGTGCCATTGGTATCGAGTAAACCCTCTTTTGCACTCAAATTTGAAGACCAGCGCTGCTGGTTTGTGGGTTTTTTAAAGCACCGAGTGTGTTTTGATGACTGAAGTGGGAAGTTGACTAAAGGGTGCACTATACTAAATGATCTAACTCAGTTCTTCTGTACTTCACTAGTAGATAGTCTGCCTTACTGCCCACGACTTCTCACGACTTCTGTGACAAATTAGAACGCGGCATAAAAAGGAAGTAAAATTCAAACGATTTTTAAGTAGATTTCCTATTACAAAAAATACTAATCCTACAATTTAAAAGAAATACTTAAACTAGTGTAAAGGATAAATGTCTGAGAAAGGCAATTAAATCATTTGTGGATTTTTATCATAACCATGCTTTTATAATAATGAATAAACTTTTCGGTGCTTTAAAGTCAATTATTCTATGTATATTGCGTCGAATCGATGTCAGCAAATAATGCTTCAAGGTATTAAGTAGTGATCACGTCAGCTAACCTCCTTGACTGGAACCCGATTCAACGGCGTAACTTCACTTAAATTGTAACTGCTGCTGCCATTCAAAATCATCCAGAATTACACGGATAAGTTAAATGGTAACTAAATTGACAGTAAAATTGACTACAATTGGATGACTCTACTCTAACTAAAGTGACTTTCTATAAGTCACCACTACTACAAGCTAGAGGATTTTTATTTACAATGATATTCATAACTTAAATTTCCTCGACTCTAGAAGCATTGTTGATGTCTTACAGACCTGATGCGTTTAATCTCTAGGTGTTCTGTGATATTTGAGGTGGATTTAGCCCAACATGCACTTACATTTACTACTTTTGCTACTCAGAACAATCAATCGAGAATGCCATTTTTCATATGGAGTACAATTAGCTGCAATTTTTAGTGAAATTGGGTGAGGTGACTAACGAATCAGGAGCTCTTCTGAGTCACGATTGCAAGCACCGCGTGGATGTTGCTGCGGTAATTGATTTGCGTAATCTGCACAATTCTCGGTTTACCTCTTTTTGCTAAGTTCAAAGCGGCATTTAAAAAAATTACCTAACCTGATCATAATCATATATATATATATATATATATATATATGCTCCTT